CAGTGAGGAGGTAGCCTAGTCACAGTCTGCCAGCAGAGGTGTTGCTGAACTGCTGTGGGCTCGGCCCAGCTGCTCTGTGAACCTTCTTTCAGTTTTGTTTATAGGGGTATAGTTAGAACTGCCTCGGTAATGGTGGTCTGCCTCTGTAATGGTGGAATGCCTTGGTAGTGGCAGACTGCCTTGGTAGTGGTGGATGCCCTTCCCCCACAGAGGTGGACCATCCTGGGTCCAGCTGTGCTTGCTCTGAAACTCTCAATCCAGAGTGTTTCAGATTGCTGGTCTTTGTGGCAGGGCAGGGGGGTGGGGTGGCCCAGCCGGGCCAGATCACCTGGCTCCCTGTTTCAGTCCCCATTTTTTTTTTCAGTTGCACAGGTGACTCTTTCTCCCAGGTGTTCCAGTCGCCAGTTGCAAAGGCTCCCGGATTTGTGTGTTTTGTGCGGAGACCTGCTGCGCTGGCTGAATTAGCTGCGCTGGGGGCTCGTGGCGCTTTTCCGCCTGGGAATCTCCTGACCTGGCTCCCTGTTTCAGTCCCCTTTATTTCAGTTGCACAGGGGACTCTGTCTTCCAGGTGTTCCAGTTGCCAGTGGAAAAGGCACCCAGATTTGTGTTGAGTTTTTGTGTGGAGACGCCCTGTACTGGCCGAAACAGCTCCATTGGGGGCTTGTGGTGCTTTTCCGCCCAGGAATCTCCTGGCCGGAGAAAAGCACCCTGTTCAGTGCTCTTTTTTTCAGCTGGACAGATGACTCTGTCTTCCAAGTCTTCCAGTTGCCAGTTGAAAAGATGGCTGGATATGTGTGTTTTTGTGTGGAGATCTGCTGTGCCAGATGAAAAGGCCACGCTGGGGGTTTGTGGTGCTTTTCCGCCCAGGAATCTCCTCTTCTGTGGGCAGTAAAAATTCATTTGGAAATGCGGTTATCACTCACCCTCTGTGTTTTCGCTGGGGACTATGATCCAGAGCTATTCCAATTCGGCCATCTTGGATCTTGTCTCCATTTAAGGTGGTTTTATCCAGTTCTGTGAAGAAGGTTGGTGGTAGCTTGATGGGGATAGCGTTGAATCTGTAAATTATTTTGGGCAGGATGGTATGGCCATTTTCACGATATTGATTCTTACTAATCATGAGCATGGGATATTTTTCCATCTGTTTATGTCCTCTCTTATTTCCTCGAGCAGTGGTTTGTATTTCTCCTTGAAGAGGTCTTTTACATCCTTTGTTAGTTGTAATCCTAGGTATTTTATTCTCTTTGTAGCAGTTGTGAATGGCAGTTCAACTTGGCTCTCTGTTTGTCTGTTATTGGTGTATAGGAATGCTTGTGATTTCTGTACATTGATTTTTGTATCCTGAGACTGCTGAAGTTGCTTATCAGCTTAAGGAGGTTTTGGGCTGAGATGGTGGGGTCTTCTAAATATACGATCATGTCATCTGCAAATAGAGACCATTTGACTTCCTCTTTTCCTAATTGAATACCCTTTATTTCTTTTTCTTGCCTAATTGCTCTGGCTAGAAATTCCAATACTATATTGAATAGGAGTGGTGAGAGAGGGCATCCTTGTGTAGTGCCAGTTTTCAAAGGGAATGTCTGGCGTGTGCTGTGTCCCACGCTGCACAAGGATTCAGAGACCTAAGAGGGAAAGGTGGGGGATAAAAACACAGACACAGACATAGAGAAAACTGTGTCAGGTGGTCCGGGAGGTGAGGATGTCAGTCTCTCTGGCCCTGACCTGTCTCAGTGTACTTTATTCTATTTGTTGACAAAGCACATAGCAGAGGGAGGGTGCAGTTACTTAGAACAGCCTGTGGTTATTATTCTCATACTTGAGTTAATATATTTCAGCCAAAAAGTATCTTGCAGCAAGGTCAGTGAAAGCTTGTTATCTCCCTAGGCCTGTCTGTTCTCCAAGACATGCACATCCTCCTACTATGGTTTCATTTCCCTGAAGTTCAACCAAAGTTCACGGCAGTCTTGCTGCTGATCCCCTAGAGTGGGTGTGCTACTCTGACTCCCTACAGGAATGCTTCCAGTTTTTGCCCATTCAATATGATATTGGCTATGGCTTTGTCATAAGTAGCTTTTATTATATTGAGATACGTTCCATTGATAACTAGTTTATTGAGGGTTTTTGGCATAAAGGACTGTTGAATTTTGTCAGAGCCCTTCTCTGCATCTATCTCTTTTTGTCTTTGGTTCTGTTTATGTGATGGATTATGTTTATAGATTTGCATATGTTGAACCAGCCTTGCATGCTTGGGATGAAGCCTACTTGATCATGATGGATACACTTTTGGACGTGCTGTTGCATTCAGTTTGCCAGTATTTTTTTTTTTTTTGAGACGGAGTTTCGCTCTTGTTACCCAGGCTGGAGTGCAATGGCACGATCTCGGCTCACCGCAACTTCCACCTCCTGGGTTCAGGCAATTCTCCTGCCTCAGCCTCCCGAGTAGCTAGGATAACAGGCATGCGCCACCATGCCCAGCTAATTTTTTGTATTTTTAGTAGAGATGGGGTTTCACCATGTTGACTGGGATGGTCTCAATCGCTTGACCTTGTGATCCACCTGTCTTGGCCTCCCAAAGTGCTGGGATTACAGGCTTGAGCCACCGCGCCCGGCTGCCAGTATTTTATTGAAGATTTTTGCTCAATGTTCATCATGGATATTGGCCTGAAGTTTTCTTTTTTAGTTGGGTCTCTGCAAGGTTTTGGTATCAGGATGATGTTGGTCTTATAAAATGAGTGAGGGAGGATTCCCTCTTTTTGTATTGTTTGGAATGATTTCAAAAGGAATGGTACCAGCTCCTCTTTGTACCTCTTGTAGAATTTGGCTGTGAACCTGTTTGGGCCTGGAATTTTTTTGGTTGGTAGGCTATTAATTGCTGCCTCAACTTCAGACCTTGTTATTGGTCTATTCAGGGTTTCAACTTTTTCCTGGTTTAGTCTTGGGATGGTGCAAGTGTCCAGGAGTTTATCCATTTCTTCCAAATTTACTGCTTTATGTGCATAGAGCTGTTTGTAGTATTCTCTGATGGTAGTTTGTATTTCTGTAGAATCGGTGGTGATCTCCCCTTCATCTTTTTTTATTGTATCTATTTGATTCTTCCCTTTTTTCTTTTTTATTAATCTGGCTAGCACTCTATTTTGTTGATCTTTTTAAAAAAACCAGCTACTGGATTTATTGAATTTTTGAATTGTTTTTTGTGTCTCTGTCTCCTTCTGTTCTGCTCTAAATTTAGTTATTTCTTGTCTTCTGCTCACTTCTGAGTTTTTTTGATCTTGCTCCTCTAGCTCTTTCAATTTTGATGATAGGGTGTTGATTTTAGATCTTTCCTCACTTCTTATGGGAGCATTTATTGCTACAGTTTTTTTCTCTAGACACTGCTTTACATGTGTCCCAGAGATTCTAGTATGTCGTGTCTTTGTTTTCATTGGTTTCAAAGAACATTTTTTATTTCTCCTTTCATTTCATTGTTTATCAATTTGTCATTCAGGAGCAAGTTGTTCAGTTTCCATGTAGTTGTGTGGTTTTGAGTGAGTTTCTTAATCCTGAGTTCTAACTTGATTGCGCTGTGGTCTGAGAAACTGTTTGTTATGATTTCCGTTATTTTGCATTTGCTGAGGAGTGATTTACTTCCAATTATGTGGTCAATTTTAGAGTAAGTGCAATGTGGTGCTGAGAAGAATGTATATTCTGTGGATTTGGGGTGAAAAGTTCTGTAGAGGTCTGTTAGGTCCACTTGGTCTTCTGCATTCAAGTCCTGGATATCCTTGTTGCTTTTCTGTCTTGTTGATCTGTCTAATAGTGACAGTGGAGTGTTAAAGTCTCCCAGTCTCTCAGTATTATTGTGCAGGAGTCTAAGTCTCTTTGTAGGTCATTAAGAACTTGCTTTATGTATCTGAATGCTCTTGTATTGGGTGCGTATAATTTAGGATAGTTAGCTCTTCCTGCTGCATTGATCCCTTTACCATTATGTAATGCCCTTCTTTGTCTCTTTTGATCTTTGTTGGTTTAAAGTCCATTTTATCAGAGACTAGGATTGCTACTCCTGCTTTTTGTTTGCTCGCCATTTGCTTGGTAGATCTTCCATCCCTTTATTTTGAGTCTGTGTGTGTCTTTGCATGTGAGATGGGTCTCCTGAATACAGCACACTGATGGGTCTTGACTCTTTATCCAATTTGCCAGGCTGTGTCTTTTGATTGGGACATTTAAGCCATTTATATTTAGCCTTAATATTGTTATGTTTGAAGTTGATCCTTCCATTTTGTTACTGGTTGGTTGTTTTGCCCATTAGTTGATGCAGTTTCTTCATTGTGTCATTGGTCTTTACCATTTGGTATGTTTTTGCAGTGGCCGGTACTGGTTGTTCCTTTCCATGTTTAGCGCTTCCTTCAGGAGCTCTTGTAAGGCAGGTTTTGTGGTGACAAAATCACTCATCAATTGCTTGTCCATAAAAGATTTTATTTCTCCTTCACTTATGAAGCTTAGTTTTGACTGCATATGAAATTCTGGGTTGAAAGTTCTTTTCTTTAAAAATGTTGAATATTGGCCCCCACTCTCTTCTGGCTTGTAGGGTTTCTGCCGAGAATTCCACTGTGAGTCTGATGGGCTTCCCTTTGTGGGTAACCCAACCTTTCTCTCTGGCTGCTCTTAGCACTTTTTCCTTCATTTCAACCCTGGTGAATCTGATGATTATGTACCTTGGGGTTGCTCTTCTTTTTTTGGGGGGAGGAAGGGAGGAAGGCAGGAAGGGAGCGAAGGAGGAAGGCAGGAAGGAAGGGATGAAGGAAGGAAGGAAGGGAGGAAAGGGGAGGGAGGGAGGGAAGGGAAGGAAGGAAATCAAGCAATGAGAGAGACATTGCTGACCTGGATCTAGAGGTTTACAAGTTGATTTCTTTTTGATTTTATTTTTATTTTTTATTTTTTATTTTTTTTTTGAGAGAAGGAAAGAAAAAAATGAGTAAAGGAGAGGGAGAAAAAGGAAGAGAAAGAGGGAGGGTGAACAGAAATATTGCTTTATTCTGAAAAAATGGGTATTAATAATGGCCAATCAATGTTTCATTTAAACCTATGAGTAGGTGTGATGTGGTATTGACGAGAATGTATTTTGTGTATTTGAAGTGGAGAGCTCTATAAATATTTATTAAGTTTACTTGTTCTGGATCTGAGTTCGAGTCCTTGATATCCTTATTAATTTTCTGTCTCATTGAATCTAAGTCTCTATGTATCTGGGTGTTAGGATCGTTAGCTCTTGTTGTTGCATTGATCCTTTTACCACTATATCTTTGTTGCTTTAAAATCTATTTTATCCGATAGGAGAATTGCACCTCCTGCTTTTTATTTATTAATTTATTTATTTTTGCTCTCCACTTGGTTGGTAAATCTTTCTCCATCCCTTTGATTTGAGTCTTTGTGTATCCTTGCATGTGAAACAGGTCTGGATGTAACATGCCGTTGAGTTTTGGCTGTGTCTTTTGATTGGGGGATTTAGTCGATTTAAATTTAGGGTTACTGCCATTTGATGTTAATGGCTGTTTTATCCATTCGTTGATGTAAATTCTTCTTTATGTTGGTGCTCTTTACTTTTTGACATATTTTTAGAAAGGCTAATACTGGTTGTTTCTTTCTGTGTGTAATGCTTCTTTCAGAAGCTCTTGTAAAGCAGGCCTGGTGGTAATAAAATCTCTGAGTACTTGCTTATTCGTAAAAGATTTTATTTTTCCTTCAGTTGTGAAGCTTAGTTTGGCTGGATATGAAATTCTGGGCTGAATGTTCTGTTCTTTGAGGATGTTGAATATTGGCCCCCACTCTCTTCTGGCTTGTAGAGTTTCTGCTGACAGATCTGCTGTAAGTCTGATAGGCTTGCCTTTGTGGGTAACCTGACCTTTCTCTCTGGCTGCCCTTGGTATTTTCTCCTTCTTTTCAACCTTGGTGAATCTAACGATTATGTCCCTTGGGGTTGCTCTTCTAGAGGAATATCTTTGTGGTGTTCTCTGTATTACCTGGGGTTGAATATTGACCTGCTTTGCTAGTTTAGGAAAATTTTCCTGAATAATATCCTGAAGGGTATTTTCCAGCTTGGATTCATTCTCTCCATCACATTCAGGTACACCTATCAAATGTAAATTTGGTCTTTTCACAGAGTCTCACATTTCTTGGAGACTTTGCTCATTCCTTTTTATCTTTTGTTCTCTAATCTTGTCTTCTCGTTTTATTTCATTAAGTTGGACTTTGACCTCTGATATCCTTTCTTCTGCTTGAACAATTCGAGTGTTTAAACCTGTGCATACTTCTCTGAGTTCCTGTATTGTATTCTTCAGTTCCATTAATTCACTTATATTCCTCTCTAAGTTGTCTATTCTCAATAGGATTTCATCAAACCTTTTTTCAAAGTTTTTAGTTTCTTTACGTTGGGCTACAACATGTTCTTTTAACTCACAGAAGTTTCTTATTATCCATTCCTTGAAGCATGATTCTGTTATTGGGATGCACTCGTTCTCCATCAAGCCTTGTTCCATTGTTGATGTAGAACTGTGATCATCTTTAGAGGGAGAGGCGTTCTGATTTTGAGTATTCTCAGCCTTTTTACGCTGGTTTCTTCCCATCCTTGTAAATTTATCCTCCTGTCATCTTTGAAATTACCAACTTTCAGATTAGGTCTCTTGAGTGGATGTCCAAGTTGTTAGTTCCCAGGGCCAGAACAGCGGCGTTAAGACTGATGGTGCTTTTCTGCCCAGGATTCTCCTGTCTGGCTTCCTTCTTGTGTTTAAAATAGGCAACTCTGCCTTCCCGGGGCTCCAAACCTTGGTCAGAAGGGGAACCAGTCTCGTTTACTCTGCGCTGAGAGCTGCCGTGCCGAGGTGCCATCACAGCCGCTGTGCCGGCCTCAGGAGTCGTGCTGGGCGCCCGTGTGGGTCCTCCAATCCTTGGTCCGAAGGGAAGCCAGCCCTGTGTGCTCTGCTCCTAGAGCTGCCGCGCCGAGGTGCTGGCGAAACCACTGCGCCGGCCACAAGAGTCATGCTGGCGAGCCGTGTGACTCCTCCACTGGGGATCTTCTGCTCCATGAGCGACCTGAATTTGTCTGAAAGTTGGGTTTGCTCTTCTTAAGGAGTGTCTTTGTGGTATTCTCTGTATTTCCTGGATTTGGACGTTGGTCTGCCTTGCTAGATTGGGTAAGTTCTCTTGGATAATATCCTGAAGAGTGTTTTCCAGTTTGAATTCATTCTCCCCGTCACATTCAGGTACACTGATGAAGCATAGATTAGGTCTTTTCACATAATCCCATATTTCTTGGAGGCTTTATTTCTTTTCACTCTTTTTTCTCTAATCTTGCCTTCTCATTTTGTTTCATTGAGTTGGTCTTCAGACTCTGATATCCTTTCTTCTGCTTGATTGATTCAGCTATTAAAACTTGTGTATGCCTCATGAAATTCTCGTGCTGTGTTTTTCAGCTTCATCAAGTCATTTATGTTCTTCTTTAAGCTGGTTATTCTAGTTAGCATTTTGTCTAACCTTTTTTCAGCATTCTTGGTTTCTTTGCATTGGGTTAGAACATGTTCTTTTAGCTCAGAGAGGTTTGTTATTACCCACCTATTGAAGCCTGCTTCTGTCAATTCGTCAAACTGATTCTCCATCCTGTTTTGCTCCCTTGCTGGTGAGGAGCTGTGGTCCCTTGGTGGAGAGGCATTCGGATCTTTGATAATTCCATCCTTTTTGTGCTGGTTCTTCCCCTCTTTGTGAATTTATCTACCTTTGGTCTTTGCAGTTGGTGATTTCGGATGGGATCTCTGAGGGGACGTCCTTTCTTTTTACATCAAAGCTATTTCTCCTGTATGAGGCATTTTTTTTTGTTATGCAGTTGTCAGGAAGCCGCTTGATGAGGCAGTCTGTCACTTGTCTGCCTGCAGCCCGGCTGCTGTGTAGTCTTCCTCTGGGTTTTGTTTACACAGGTGAGGTTAGACCCGCCTACCCAGTGGCGGGCATCCTTCCTCCTGCCGAGCTTGATCATCCTGGGTCCAGGTCACACTGATGTGCTAGCTGCAAAACTCTATAGATAGAGAGGGCGTCAGTTTGCTGGACTTTGTGGGGTGGGACCTGCCAAGCTGTATCACCTGTTACCTTGCTTTCAACTCTCCCTCTTTCTGGGGGATCAGTAGTTCCATCCTGCAAGTGTTCTCGGTGTTAGTCAAAACTTCTGCCCCTGCCTGTGGCGACAACTGGCGGCACTGGGCGGGCTGGAGCTGTTGCTCGGATCTGTGTTGACAACTTGTACTTTTCAGCCCAGCAGTATTCTCCTGTACTGAGGGTTGCAGAGGCTGTGGGGGAAGTGCAGTTTCTGGATGAGAGTGCTGAGATGGTAAGGCCCCCGATCCTCCGGGCCGCTTGCACTTCCTGGGTGGGGCAGTGCCCCGCCCTGCTTTGGTTTGCCCTCTTTGGGCTATTCCAACTGTCCAACCAGACCCATGAAATGAACCTGGTACCTCGTTTGGGAATGTGTAGATAGCTCACCTTCCGGTTCTCTCTCACTGGGAACTGCTCTCTGGAGTTGTTCCTATTCAGCTATCTTGGCAGAAATCCTGTGCCCATCATTTCAGTGACTACATTTACTCTTTAAAACTGCCCATTCTTTATTCATCATGTCTAGCTCTTTTCTTACGATTTCCATTCCTGTTTTTAAAAAGTTTCTCTAATCTTTCTAACTTACAGTGTCTCTCAAATTTTTTGCTCTACCTTGAGTTTTTGGGAGGCCTATTTGGTGTGCCTGTTGGCTTTTACTCATGGTACATCATTTCTCGTGTGTTAAAGAGTTTTTTATGTTGAGCATATTTTAGTAGGATTTAAAAAACAAATAAAAAACCGAAAAAGCCTCTTTCTTCCAGCAATTCTTGTGTGAACTGGTTTGTGGAAGTGCTGTGCCACATAAATTTTACATTATTTTGGTTAGGTGTTCTGGGGCTTCACTGACTTGGGGGAAATTTATGTTAATTTCTTGTATTCTAGATTCTTGTGCCTTAAGAATGGGATCAATTTGAACTCTATTGACACTGGGTTCTGATATTTCATCAAATCTATAGCAAATGTCTTAGTCTGTTTTTTATGGCATATAACAGAATACCTGAAACTGGGTAGTTTATAAGGAAACAAAATTTATGTCCTAAAGTTCTGGAGGTTAGAAAGTCTGAGATTGGGAGGTCACATCTAGTGGGGGCTTTCTTCCTGGTGGGGGCTCTCTGCAGAGTGTTGAGGTAACTCAAGGCATCAATGATGGGGAGGCTGAGTATGCTAATTCAGGTCTGTCCTCTTGGTAGAAAGCCACCAATCCCACTTCCATAACAACTCATTAATTTATTAACCCATTAATCCATTCATGAGGGCAAAGCATTTATGACTCAATAATGTCTTGAATGCCCCACCTCTCAATACTGCCACACTGGGGACTAAATTTCAACATGCATTTTAGAGGGGTCAGATATTCGAACCATAGAAGTGATCAGTATCTTTATTTTCACGAGATGCCTTTCTTTTAGAACCCATAACCCTAATTTAGTCAAGAATCTAGTAACAAACACAGAGGAATGATCATCTCCTCAGTTTTTATTTTAATTTTTGTTATTTGTTTATTTTTTAGAGGTAGCATCTTACATGATCATAGCTCACTGTAGCCTTAAACTCTTGGGCTCCAGTGATCCTCCCACCTTATCCACCTGAGTAGCTGGGACTACAGGTGCATGACACCACACTCAACTAATTTTTCTATTTTTTTTAGAGAGAAGTTCTTGATATATTGCCCAGGCTGGCCTCAAGGGATCCTCCCACCTCTGCCTCCGAGAATGCTGGGATTATAGGTGTGAGCCACCACACCTGGCTTCTTTGTTTTTATGTGAGAATGGCTCTTTCCACCAAGCCAAGGATTCAGTTATTCAGAGATTGAGTTCTGGTCCCATGGACCCCAGAACACCAGCAGTGACCTGGCTCGTGCCTCTCCCTAGGGGGTGCCTGGAAGGAGCTATGGTAGGAGGTGGAGGCCTCAGCAGAAGGTTGACTGGAGTTCCGTCACCTGGCCCCCATGGATTTATTAGTTGCATGCTTTGACACATGTCTCTGGGTTATTTGCACAATCACACTTTGAAAAAGTGTTTTGAATCCCTTGATTTATCTTTTTGTCGTTGTTCAGAATAGTTTTCACTCAAAGGCAAGAACATGCTTTTAAACTGACCTTTTAAACTTTGTAAGGCTTATGCCACAAAGAGACACATGAAAGGAACAATAAGCACATTCTCTACATGGAAGCATAATTGAAGTCTCCTCTGGTGATGAGATCTATGGGAACCCGGCACAAAGCATCTGAGCTGGGCTCTTGTAGCTGATAGATGGCCCTCTGGGTAGAAGTCTCATGACCGGAGAGAGAGGCCAAGCTGTACCCTACTCGGTGGGAACATTATTTCCACCATCTGAGCGGGCTCATGGCTACCCGCCTACCCTCAGGAGCCAAGGGAACCACTTGGGAGAGTTGGACCTTGTCCTTTGGTCTGCAGGAAGCCCTGGAAGTTTCTGAGCAGGGGAAGGATGTGGAAAATAGAGGCAAGAGCAAAGTAGAGCATTTGAAGCCAGTGACCTGGGTTTGAATTCTGACTCTGGCACTTCTAAGTCGTGTGACCTTATGTAAGCCACCTAGCTTCTGTGAAAATCATACGGCATTGAGCACCTATTTATCGAGCACTGGGGTACATGCTGGACATCTGGGATCCAGAGACCAAGAGAATCCTGCAGTCCTTTCTACTTCCTTGCTTATAACTCTTACCATGTGTATTAGTTTGCCATTGCTGCCATAACAAATGACCACAAACTAAGTAGCTTAAAACAATATGAATTTATTATCTCATAGTTCTGGAGGGCTGAAGTTCCACTGGACTAAAGTCAAGGTGTTGGCAGGGCTGGTTGTTTCTTGAGGATCCAGAGGAGAATTTGTTTCCTTGCCTTTTTCACCTTCTAGTGCCCACCTAGATTCCTTGGCTTGTAGCTCCTTCCTGACTGCAAAGCACATCACTCCCATTTCTGCTTCCATTTTCTTATTGCCTTCTCCTCTTCTGTGTCAGATCTCCTTTTCTCTCTTTATTATAAGGATCCTCATAATTAAATTTGTCCCATTTGGGTAATTTGTCCCATTTGTCTCTTTATGATAAGGATCCCTGTAATTACATTTGTCCCATTTGAGATAATTTCCTCATCTAAAGATCCTTCACTTAATCTCATTTGCAGAATCCCTTTTGCCATGTAATGTGACATTCACAAGGATGTTCCAGGGATTAGGATGTGGATGTAATTGAGGGTCTTTATTCAGCTTACTACACCATGTGACATTGCATTTAATGTCTGTTCATTTTACATATAATATGTTTCCTCTGGGCAGTGAGATAGGCCTGCCAGATAGCCCCTCATGTGTGCTGGGTGAGTGAGTGAATAAATGAGTGAATGTAATCTTTGGAGTTGAGAAGAAGCTGATATTCTGCTTGGGCTTCAAAGGATTAGTATGAGTTTTCTAGAGTATTCTAGATGGAACGAGCAGCTTATGAAAAGATATAGAGGCATGAGCTGAGACATTCAGCATGGAGGAAATGCAGGTGGAGTGTGATGGCCCAGAGTGAGATAAGACTGGGCAGTAGGTCATGGAGAGCCTTGCAGGATACCTCATAGGCTGGATTTTGTTTTTGCAAGGAAGCAGTAAATGTAGTTATTGCCATTGTCTTTGAAGTTACTGCCTGGGTTTAAATTCCTGTGCTGCCACTCACTTGCTGTGTAACCCTAGGAAAATTACTCAACTTCTTTGAGACTTAGTGAAATAGTGCTTCATAAAGCTTTTCTGGGAAGCAGATGACTTTTGAGGATTGTAAAGCACTTAGCACAGTGTGTGGAACAGTCAAAGGAGCCTTTAGGAATGTATTGGCATTCCTGCTGTTATTTTAATAAATGTGATTATTGTTATTATTGTTGGTGATGATGGGGACTCTGAAGAATTTCAGCCAGGCTTCAGTGCCGTGGTCAGATTTGATTTCTGGGAAGATAACTTTGACAGCTATGTGAAAATGGTGGGGGCCAAGGGTGGGTGACACTGAGTCAGAAAACCAGTTAGGAGCCTATTAAAATAATCTAGGTGAGAGATGAAGAGGCAGAGAGCAGAGGTGGAGGTTCAAGAGAGATGTTATTGGATGCTGGATGTTGGAGAGATGTCTTTGTGGCCTTGAAATTGTTCAAGGGGGATTTTAGAGGCTTAGTACCAATGCTGTGGTCCTTGATTTTCAGAAAGGGACACTGAGGCACAGCAAGGGGAGGATGCCTTGCCTTTGCCTCCAGATGAAACAGTGACAAATGGGATAGGCAGGGTAGAACTCAGGTCCTTAGCCCTTTGTTGCAGAGCAGGCGGAGGTGGGAGAAGTGCGGCTGGAAGAGGCTTCTGATGAAAGTGCATCATCAGAAGAAGTGAGGCTTTTTCATGGGTGGAGGGGTGCTAATACAACCTCAGTGTCAGTTTCCCCTTCCACATCCCTCTAATCACCCATCTGTGCCTTAACTCCTCTTTCCAGCTCATTCTTTCACCAGTCCCCACAAGAATGCCTGTAGAATCCTGGTAGTGTTGGGCAGAGAGATTTTGTGGTTTTTAATTAAGGCAAATGACCTTACTGAGTTGAGGATGGCACGTGGAGGACACCTGGAGGATGAGGACTACCTGGGAGTGAGGGAGAGGGAGTTCTGCGTTCTAGCGCCACTGAAAGAAACCTGGAGTCCGAAGAAGTGTGTGCTCAGGGATTTGGTACTGTGCGTCCTCTGAGGTTTTCCATTCACGCAGGAAACCGATTCAATAGTGTGCACCAGGCAAGATTACGATTGTTACTTCAATCATATCTTACCCTGCAAGGGGTTGTTGGAGGAAAATATATTTCAATGCCATGCTCAAAAGAGCTGTCATTTTTTTACATAGTAAATGGGTTTTCAGAGAGTGATGTAATATTGTTATTTTTAACACATTCTGTTTGGAAATGATTTCACTTTAGTTCAAATCGATGCATGCTGGAGAACAGAAAAATCTAAAGGGAGCTTTAGAAAATGTTCCCTAAAAGCATTCACCCTTAAAAGGTGGACCCTTTTAGGAAAGTTCTGTGTGCACATACCTGAATTTACAAATCAGAATCACAGGGCAATGTCTTCAGTAAGAAGAAGATACCGGAGGCTTCCTTTAAACACCTTGGTGCATTTCAGAGGTTTCTTATAAATGGCTGCTGATGGCTTTATCAGAAGGCTAGGAGAGAGGAAACAAACAAAAAACATGGAGATGTGATGAACAAATTCTGGGCAATGATGACAAGAATTCAATTTGTTTGTGTGTGTGTTTCCCAGAAGTATTGCAGTGAAATTGGGGAGACAGCCTACGTGCAATGCTTGGCAAGTGCCAACCTTCAGAGCTGACCATCCATATATTGGCTGGTGTAGTATGAGTCTCTTCATGAGAACACAGAATTGACAGGCATCATGGGGACCATTTTGTCCCATCCCATGTGGAACCTGTGGCTGAGAGAGGGGAATTATTCAAGGCTCACAGAGGCAAGGCCAAGAATAGAGAGACCTTTCTCCTGAATGCCTGTTTATTGCTCTTAACAGTCTTCTCTGCTGTTTGCATTTCTCTGTCAGTCTCCTCTGGTACATTGATATTTTCTTTTTTCCAGGAAAAATCAGTTGCTGACGTCTGACAAGGTGGATGGTGAGCTGGGTGCCCTGCAGCTCGGTAGGTGCAGCGGGTGCCTCTGTGCTGTGCCCATCAGAGCCCAAGGGGTCCTTGTTGGCTCTGTCTGGGAGATGGATGGTGGGGAGCCCCTTTCCTCCCACCTGACCTCAGCAAGTAGGGCCGGTCCAATGAGTAGAGCAGACTACTCTCACTACTCTCTCACTGATTGATATCTTCTACTGCTTGCCCTTCTCTCCTGGAGAAATCCTTGTAAGACCAGTCATTTTTGGATCCACACTGTGGGGCCAGAGAAGCTCTTTCTGCATTTGGCATTTTTTTTTTTGGCGGGGGGAGGGATTCAGAACTTACTAAAGTCTCCAGAAGACAGTTCCCATTCAAAATATCAGTATAGCTCTGTCTGGGAAGGCCCATACTTGTTAAAAGTTTGTCAATGTATTATGGAGGCATAAGACACAAACAGTGAAGGCATTAAGTGTACACCTTAAGTGCTCTGGTCTGTGTCTTCACTTCTGTGTACATCTGTGTAACTGCTCCCTGAGATCAAGATAGAGCACATTTCCTTCCACTCTTTGGTTTTGAAGTAAGCTTTTTTTTCTCTCTCTCTTTCTGTAATTCCCTGCTCTCCAAAGATGGATGTGTTTGCAGGGGTTTGCAGAAGGAGCTAGAGATTGAGGATGTTGAGACCAAGCGCTGGCCGTGAGAGGATGAGGCTTGAGTGCTGCCAACATTTGCTCCTCTTCTGGAGCCAACAATTTACCTGTTGCACCGTTTGGGCAGACAAGAACTGCTCACATGCTTTTCTTCTCCCCTTTGAGCCCTCCCTTTTAAATTGAAGGAAGAAAGCAGTGCCTCTATTTAGAAGTCCCTTGTGTGAGACATGTAGTCTGACAGTTTGCTTTGATGAAGTTGAAAGAAAGGGGCAGGCCTCTGAGCAGTGGTGGTGGAGGTGGGGGTTTGTTTACTCTGTTTGATTCATCCCAGAGGTAGCAGATCCTCAGAGCTCCCTAGAGGGGGCAGATTTCTGTGCAAGGCTGTGCAGAGTACAGCACGGAGGCAGGAAGTGCTGGCATCCATACCCTTTTTGTGCACCTCTACATTTTAACATTTTGCAGTGAAAACTGCTTGTGTTTGGACACAAGCAAAGCAGTTCCTGACCATCAGAACCCAGAGAGCTTCTACTGGAAGGAAGGCTATTAGCAATTCTCAGAAGCAGCTGTTTGAAGTGTGTGTGTGCATGCTTTCTGGAGGAGGCTGACCCCTCTTTGCTAATGGCTCAGCTAATGATTTAGGAAAGGAGAAGGTGAGGGATGGGAGACCATGGAACCCAGTCACAGACAGAGTTCATGAATGAGAGGAAAGGAAAGAGAAGTCTTGTGGAAGTCAGGGCTTGGGGGTTGAGCGGTGCAGAAACAAAAATCAAACTTGGTTAGAGGAATAGTGCTCCTTCTCCACCCCAGTTTGTTTTACTTTGGTTCGATTCAGTAAGCTCTTGTCAGCAATTACCTGCCAGGGCATATGCAAGGCTCTGTAGAAGGCAGACCAAGGTGAATAAAAGGTGGCTTTGCCTTTTCAGAGGGTGGAGTGGGTAGAACAAAGGAAGAGAAGTATTTTCCCGTAGCAACACATGAAGCAGATGCCCAGCAGTGCGTAACTGCTTTAATAAGCCAAGTTTTGTGATGAGTTCCTGTAGTAGTCCGTTCTCATGCTGCTAGTAAAGACATATCAGAGACTGAGTACTTTATAAATGAAAGAGGTTTAATTGACTCACAGTTCAGCATGGCTGGAGAGGCCTCAGGAAACACAGTTATGGCAGAAGGGGAAGCAAACATGTTCATCTTCACATGGCAGCAGGAAGGAGAAGTGCCCTGCAAAAGTGGGAAAAACCCCTTATAAAACCATCAGATTTTTTGAGAACTCATTGTTACTAGAATAACAAGAGGGTAACCACCCCATGATTCAATTACCTCCCATCAGGTCCCTCCCACAACACATGGGAATGATGGGAACTACAGTTAAAGATGAGATTTGGGTGGGGACACAGCCAAACCATATCCGTCTGGAAGTTTCTATATCTTGTAGGTATTTAGGCTGGACTCTGAAGGATGGGAAAGGTCTTGCCAAATAGAGATGTGGAAGGAGTCGCATGGGCAAAAACCTGGTGTATGTGTGAGGAAGACTGGCTGGAGGTAACAGTCCTGTGGGGGAGGACATGGGGGTCAGTGTGATGATGCTGAAGTGAAGGCTGGGCTGGCCAAGATGATTTTGAGTGCTCTGCTAAAACAGATGAACAGCAAGTCATTGGGCAGAGATTCTGTGGTGGTGAGATATCTAGGGCTGCACATTGGGGGCTATATCTGGACTTCAGGGATGTAAGCTTAGATGTTAGGAGACTGGTGAGGAGTTCTTGGCATAGTCCAGAGAAGAGGTAATGAGACCCATGTTACCTGGGAAATCGAATGGGTATTTCAGGATCTGTCCGAATATCATGTCTTATGGAAAGTTTCCTTGACCATTTATGGCAGAATTAATTGCCTCCCCCTCTGCTCTGAAAACCCTTGTACTCATCCCTGTTTCAGCACTTACTGGGTTAGGCTGCAGTGGGGGTGGGAGGCTCTGTCTCTCCCTCTGGGCGGGGAGCTGCTTGAATGAAGGGGTGGGGCCTTAGTCATCTCTGACCTCTGTCCCACATCATCCCTAGTACCTCATGGGTGCTCAAGAATGCGCCTGCTTAGCAAATAGAAAGATAAGGACATATTCCTATAACAGTGGAGAGAGAGAGTCAGCAGAGGGGCAGGATATGAGACATTCTGGAGGCAGAGTAATCCAGACGCTGGACTGGCATGATGAGTGGGAGAGGGTGGAGGTTTCAGCCTGAGGCTCTGGTAGAAGAGTAGAGGAGAGAGGGGGTCTTTTACTGAAACTGAAGCCAGGAAGGGTTCTAAGTTTCTGGTGTTAGGGCACTTCCAGAAGATATCTTGTGGTCAGTAGGAAATGCTGCACAGGCTCCCAGAGAAAAGCTATGTGGGCCATTCTCCCTATGGAGTCTTCCTATGAGTATCATTCCCCTTGGTATCTTTGACTCCCTATTGACATAAAGTCAAATTGCTTTATACATACATACACACACACACATATATTCTACAAAGGGACGTAAAATGGTATGGAAAACAAAACTTGCTTATTTTCAATCAGACATTTAAACCGGGACCTTAAAATAGCATTCTCAAACCACTGGCATTTGCAGATGGCCTTGTCTGCCTGGCCAACATGTCATTCTGGAGTGCTTTGTTTTTCCCTTGCATGGCGGTCCCACCACATCTGGGCCTGAGGCCTGCTATGTGATCCTGAATCAACTCCCTGCACTGGGGCCAGTTTCTCCATGTAGAAGCCAAATGAGTCTGCCTTTTCCAAGGGGCTCACTCTGGCCTATCCTCCATCAAGGTCTGCTTTTCCTGGGCCCACAGCCTTCATTCCCAGACTTACTTCATGGGACCTGGGCAAAGCATGTTTCAGACCTGGCTCCCTCCCTGACAACATCAGACTAAATAGAAACCTCCAAATAAGCTTAAATATTGTCCCTTCGTGCCTCCAGGAAACAGTCTGGCTCAAGGCATTCCAAGGAATGCTTCAGGGTTAGTTCTTTAGCAATTTGGAATTACTCAGGTTACCCTGCCCGATTGTTTGGGGCCTCAGATGTCTAAGGTGGAATTAATCACACATTTCTTTTCCTCCAGAGAACATTCTCAGTGTTGGTCTTTGCAGAGCCTGCCCACCAGTCGCCTTGCTTTTCTTACTTCCCATTCCCCCCACTTTTTTTTTTTTTTGAAACAGTCTCACTATGTTGCCCAGAGTGCAGTGGCATGATTTCAGCTCACTGCAACCTCTGCTGTCTGCCTCCTAGGTTCAAGTGATTCTCCTGCCTCAGCACTCCCCCACCTGAGTAGCTGGGATTACAGGTGTGCATCATCACACTCGGCTAATTTTTGTATTTTTAGTAGAGATGGGGTTGCGCCATGTTGGCCAGGCTGCTCTTGAACTCCTGACCTCACATGATCTGCCCACTTTGGCCTTCCAAATTGCTGGGTTTACAAGTGTGAGCCACTGCACCTGGCCCCGTCCCTCCCTTTTACATTTTCCTCTCTCCTTCCCTTTCTCCCTTGTAACTTTATTTCCTTATTTCTCTTTAGCCCTACCCCTTATATTCTTACTACCTTCCTTTCCCATAAGCAACTATTATTTTATGCTTAATCTATCTCTTTTTCTTCTATATGTTCTTGCAAAATCTATAATGTCTTGTGTGTGCATCATTTTTACTTGACATAGATAGCATTGTGTTGTATATCTCATTTGGTTTCTTTCTCTACCCAGCATCATGTTTTTAGTCCCATTCCTGTTGCTGGGCAGACATCTGGGCTTTGTTTTTGGTTTTTTATGTAAGGCCATGGTCATAGGGTAACTCTTCAGAGACCCTAACTAAGAAGGTATATTAGTCTCTTTTCATGCTGCTGATAAAGACATACCCGAGACTGTGCAGTTTACAAAGGAAAGAAGTTTAATAGAGAACTCAGGGTTCTCTATGGCTGGGGAAGCCTCACAATCATGGTGGAAGGCAAGGAGGAGCAAGTCACATCTCACGTGGGTGGTGGCAGGCAGAGATAGCTTGCGCAGGCAAACTCTCATTTTTTAAAGCCATCAGATGTCATGAGACTTATTCACTATCATGAGAACAGCACAGGAAAGACCTGCCTCCATGATTCAGTTTTCTCTCACAGGGTTCCTCCCACAACACGTGGGAATTATGGGAGCTACAAGATGAGATTTGGGTGGGGACACAGAGCCAAGCCATATAATTCTGCCCCTGGCCCCTCCCAAATCTCATCTTCACCTTTTCAAAACCAGTCAGACCTTCTCAACAGTCCCCCAAAGTCTTAACTCATTTTAGCATTAACCTAAAAGTCCAAAGTTTAAAGTCTCATCTGAGACAAGGCAAGTCCCTTCCGCCTGTGAACCTGTAAAATCAAAAGCAAGTTAGTTACTTCCTAGATACAATGAGGGTACAGCCATTGGGTAAATACAGCCATTCCAAATGGGAGGAAGTGACCAAAACAAAGGGGCTACAGGCCCCAAGCAAGTCTAAAATCTAGCAGAGTAATCAAATCTTAAAGCTCCAAAATGATCTCCTTTGACTCCATGTCTCACATCCAGGTCATGCTGATGCAAGAGGTGGGTTCCTATGGTCTCGGGCAGCTCTGCCCCGTGGCTTTGCAGGTTGCAGCCTCCCTCCTGGTTGCTTTCATGGGCTGGTTTGTGGCTTTTCCAGGCACACGTTACAAGCTGTTGGTAGATCTACCATTCTGGGGTCTAGAGGATAGTAGCCCTCTTCTCACAGCTCCATGAGGTGGTACCCCTGTAGGGATTCCTTGTGGGGGCTCCAATCCCACATTTCCCTTCTGCAATGCCCTAACAGAGGTTCCCTGTGAGGGCCCCGCCCCTGCAGCAAACTTCTGCCTGGCCATCCAGGTGTTTCCATACATCCTCTGAAATCTAGGTGGAGGTTCCCAAACCTCAGTTCCTGACTTCTGTGAAACTGTAGGGTCAACATCACATGGTAGCTGCCAAGGCTTGGGCCTTGCATCCTTTGAAGCCATGGCCCAAGCTGTACATAGGCCTCTTTTAGTTATCTCTGGAGTGGGTGGGACATAGGGCATCAAGTCCCTAAGCTGCACACAGCAGAGGGACCCTGGGCCCAGCCCATGAAACCGTTTTTTTCTCCTAGGCCTCTGGGTCTGTGATGGGAGGGCCTGCCATGAATACCTCTGACATGCCCTGGAAGCATTTTCCCCATTGTCTTGGGGATTAACGTTTGGCTTTTGGCTACTTATGCAAATTTCTGCAGCCAGCTTGAATTTCTCCTCAGAAAATGGGATTTTCTTTTCTATTGCATTGTCAGGTCACAAATTTTCTGAGCTTTTATGCTCTGCTTTCATTGTAAAACTGAATGCCCTTAACAGCACCCAAGTTACCTCTTGAATGCTGTGCTGCTTAGAAATTTCTTCTACCGGATACCCTAAATCATCTCTCTCAAGTTTAAAGCTCTATGTATTTCTAGGGCAGAGGCAAAATGCTACCAGTCTCTTTGGTAGAACATAACAAGAGTCACCTTTGCTCCAGTTCCCAACAAGTTCCTCATCTCCATCTGAGACCTTATTGTTCATATCACTATCAGCATTTTTGTCAGAGCCATTCAACATGTCTCTACGAAGATTCACCTTTTTTTCTTCTTCTTTTTCTGAACACTGTAAACTGTTCCAGCTTCTGCCTGTTACCAGGTTCCAAAGTTGTTCCCACATTTTTGGTATCTTTTCAGTAGCACCCCACTTCACTTGTACCAATTTGCTGTATTAGTCCATTTTCATGCTGCTGACAAAGATGTTCCTGAGACTGGACAATTTACAAAAAAAAGAGGTTGTTTATTGGACTTACAGTTCCATGGCTGGGGAGTCATCACAATCATAGCAGAAGGCAAGGAGGAGCAAGTCACATCTTACGTGGATGGTGGCAGGCAAAGAGAGAGTTTGTGCAGGCAAACTCCTGTTTTATAAAGCCATCAGATGTTGTGAGACTTATTTGCTATCAAGAGAACAGTGCAGGAAAGACCCACCCCCATGATTCAATGATCTCCCACCTAGTCCCTCCAACACATGGGAATTATGGGAGCTACAAGATGAGATTTGGGTGGAGACACAGAACCAAACCATATCAGAAGCGTTCTCATCTAAATTCAGATTCCTATTTAAATTGCAGACTTTTTTTTTTCCCCAGCCCAACAGTAGAATCTGTCTGCTTGTTCAGTGGCCTGAATCTGCATGAGTTCCCTTTGTGCTGTGGCTGGTTCTCCCTGGGGTGAAAGGAGGCTGTAGCATAAGATACAGGCTGTGTGTCTTGGGAATGGTGGCCTTTGATACCACCCCCACCCAAGCAGGCCCACTCTGGCAGGCTCCTCTAGGGAGCTGGATTCACAGAGCCAAGGCCTCAGCTACCCTCTGGAGTTCACTCTGCTCAGCCTTGCTGGCACCATTGCCTTGGCATTGTTTGTCCCTGGGTCCTTTATCACTGTGTTCTGGTGAATTCAGTGGCAGCATGTGTAATGACAAGGGGACCTTAGCTAACTGGAAAGTCACAGCTGGTGCTATCAGAGACCCAGGTGGGACCATTTCTGGGCCTCAGTTGCCCAACTATAAGATGACAATATCTGGAATATGGCTTAATGTCTCTGCTGGAAGTCTGGGGAGGTGGGATGGCAAAGTGACTAGGAGTCACTCTCTGCCACTTTCCATTTGATTGACTTGGGCCAGTTACTTAAGACCTCTAACCCTCAGTTTCCTCATCTATAAGTGGTGGCAATAATAATTACTTTCTCATAAGGCTGTTGTGGAGGAAGGTGATAAAATTCAAGCAGTCAATAAATGCAAGTTACAATAGGGATCATCTGCAATAATTATTTTATCAGGAATGGTTCCATTTTCTTTCCTAGTCCTGTTCTCTTCACCTTTGTCCTCAGGGGAATGATCTTTCGAGTCATGCCCACCTTTTGTAAGAAATGTGTTTGAGCTAGGCTTTCCTGGTCCTGGTTTGATGGCCGAGGCCCTGGGCACTTGTTCCACTACATGTCTGTGCATAGAACTTTCTAGTGGACCAGTAGCTAAGTCTCACTCGGCAAATCCTTGTGAGCAAAGATGAACAGAGCAGGGTTGTGACAAGATCAAGTCTTTCTTGATCTACTTGCTTTCCTTCCACCGAGGGCCTGGGAACCCCAAAACAGAGCTGGAGTGAATGAATGGGGGAGGAACGCTCCTTTCACTTAAACCTTCTGCAAACTTAGCAATGTCTGTGGTGTTCAGTGACTTCATGTTCTGTTCTCTGAGTCATAACGAGGGGCTCACATGGCCATGGTTTTCTTTCAGAGGATGTGGAGGATGAGTTGATAAGGGAAGAGGTCATCCTGTCCCCAGTCCCATCAGTGCTCAAGCTGCAGACAGCATCAAAGCCAATTGACCTTTCAGTAGCAAAGGTAAGTGTAAGGAGACTCTCCCAGGTTAAATGCAGCTTGATTTGAATGGATGTGGATGGTGTGATTTTGGTGTTTCTGGCCCCATCCAGCTCATTGTAATCTGTCATTCGTTGTTGAAATGGAAATTTGGGTGTGATGTAGAAGACTGTGAACCGTGAGTCAGGAAAACTGCAATCTTGTCCTGGCAGCTCTTGTTCCCTCCGAGACAAAAGGTGAGGGAGGAGATTATGTCCTCCCATCCAAACACTGTGGGATCTGTTCCGTCATAGCCCTGTGGGTACCGTTAAGGTATGATGGGAATGGTCTAGTTTTCCCCATTAGAGCAGCGCAGCTCCTATACTGGTCTCCTAAGCTCTGGCCAGGTTGCAGTGAGAGAAGGACAGGGAGGTGTTAACAATTCTTCAGCACCATCCAGGTGGACTCCCATGGCCACTTAAAGGGCCTCATGGTCACGGGACCAGCAGCAAGTTCCTGGCCACAGCAGCCTCCTCTGCAGGGGTGTGTGAGATTGCTCACCACCCTTGGCTACCAGGGTGGCCTCACCACTCCTGTGGCCAGAGGTTCCTGCAGGATGGAATGTCATTCCCGCTGTCTTCTTCTGGCCTTTCACCAAGATCCAGGAGGGGAAAATTAAAACTCCTGGGGATACCACTGACCTCCTTCTCTTCCTACTTACTACATATTTACTCAGCATACAAATCGAAGAGTAAAATATTTTTCTAGAGGTTTTGTCCTTTCGTTTCCTTCCCTTCTCCCCTCTCCCCTTCTCTCTCATCTCTCCTCCCTTTTCCTTCCATTCTCTTCTGAAGCCACAGAGGGTTAGATACACTTAAGTGGCCCCAAACCTTGGAGGAGGTGCTCTGTCATCTGTCACCGGATTCATGGGGTCATGAGTCTTTGCAGAGGGCACTCATACTTGGGGCAGGTCCCTTAGGCTCTAAAAGACTACCCAGCAGTAGCATCTCCAAAAGCAGCTGGAAAAAGTGAGGCCCGCAGAGAGAACAGGAGAGCCCAGGGCACGTGGCCTCTGTGGAAAGCAGAGTCCAGGTGTCTAGGCTCTGTTGAGCACACTGTGCCTAGCAGGGAGCTGTCATTCTGAGCACTGACAGATGAATCCACATGTCCTTTCTCCTGTGTGCCACTAGCCCACATTTGATGGCATGTGGACAAATGCTTCTGTCAGAGAGATTTTCCTTATACTCAATGAGGAGAAGAAAAGAGCTGATTTTAGTAGAAAATAGTGAGTCTGTAGGAAAGGTCTGACCAGAGAGAGGGTGCAGGGAAGAGGCTATAGAATTTCCTGTTGGTCTTGGGGCTCACTCAAGGCTTCAGAAACCCCCCTCATATACAATATCATGGCAGAGAGAGGGTGGGCCCATTATGAGAGGAGTGGGTGGAGAGCCACTGCCTTTCCTACCTGAGGTCCTGTCCCTGCGGAACGGATTACCATTTTGGGGGCTCTGGAGGGTGATGCGTGGGTTGATGGGAGATGAACAGTGAACCCATTATCAGCCAGAAGTCTGTAGAGACAGCTATGAAAAAGTAGAGGGGCTGCCTTGAGAGGTGGTGGGAACCTCTTCACTGGATTGTTGGGTTGGTTCAAGCAGAGTTCATGGGGACCACTCATGGGTGACATCACAGAGGAGGTTCTTACACATGGTAGAGAGTCATACCAGAGCAGGAGTTGGGAGGTGTTTTCTGTAAAGGGCTTGATAGTGTATTTTTGGCTTTGCTGGCCATGTAATCTCTGCTGCATCTATTCAATTTTGCCGTCGTGGTATGAACACAGCCATGGATGGTATGGAATCAAATAGGCTTTGCTGTGTGCCAGTAGAACTTTATTTACAAACAGGTGGTGGGGGCAGAGTTAGCCTGTGGGTCACAGTTTACTAACCCTGCACTAGAGCACTAGTTCTCAAACCTGGTGCACTGTGGAATCACCTGGGGGAATCTTAAAACTACTGATACTGGAGTCTCACCCTCAGCAACTGGGGTTTAATTGGCTGGTGTGTTTTCTGAACATCAAGATTATTTTTAAGAACTTTATGTCCTGGATGGTTCTAATGTGAGGTTAAGTTTGAAAACCCCCTAGTCTTGCCTGTGGAGGATCGGAGGACCTCTAAGATCCCTTGCAAAGCTAAAATTTTGTTTCTCAAGGCCTCTGCAAGGAGCTTACAAAGATTTTAGCCCATGTGAGCACGGGCTGGCTTGGTTTAGAGATGTTCCAGAGGTAAGACCCTCAAGATTGAGTTTCTCTTTCCTCAAATATAAGAATGAGCTTGAAAAATAAAAAGAAAAGAGACTAACGCCATGCTGGAAAATGGACTTCCCTCCTGGAATTCAATAAAAACTTCTGCAGCAATATGCATACTGAACACTGTATTGTTGTTTGCTTTTAAAACAACCAGTAAAACTCTCTCTTCTTTTTATAGGAAATAAAGACCCTTCTCTTTGGTTCCACCTTTTGCTGTTTCAATGAAGAATGGAAACTTCAGAGTTTTTCCTTTAGTAACATAGCCTCGTTAAAATACGGCATTGTGCAGAACAAGGCAGGTTGCTCCTAAGTTTCCTTGGGACCTTTCTGCTGGGCCATCACACATAGGGGTGGGGGTGCCTCCCAGTTTTGGTTAATCTTGTTAGCATTAGCTGTGCCATTCTGGGCCAGCCAGCCCCACATGTGCTGGGTTGTCACTTGGTGCAGGCATGTCACATGTGGCTGGTGGACTGATTGCTGGGGAACAAGACCCTCTGCTTTGGAGATGTTCAAATTGAACGTAGATTTAAGGAGCACTTGCTGTGAGTGGTGCAGGTGCTGGCATCCTCGGCAGGAGAGAGCAGGAGGAGACCTTAAGTCTGCTTGGGGCCATTTGAGGGGCCTTTTTAGGCTGATCATTGAGAGATTGACAGGATTTTGCAGGTGGAGCTGGAGAAGGGGCACTCTGGGCAGCTGGCAGCATGAATGAAGGGGAGGCGGTATGAAAGTCTAGGGGCTGCAGGAAGAGGCAGAGGGATCAAGTATGCAGAGCAAATGCTTAAAGAAGAGGATGTAATAGAAGCTGGGCCAGCGGCAGTCGATGGTTGCAGGCTTAGAACGTGGCTTAATACACAGTTCCCACGTTATACTCATGGGCAGAAGATAAGCTAAACCCAGGATTAGGAATCAGCAGATGAGCAGGGCAGCTTGGTCAGGTTCAGTTTCTTAAGCCCCAGAAACCTCCTCTGCCCCATATTGCCATGACCACCAGCTTCTGTCCCTCCCTCATGGCCAAGCTCTGCTGGTCTTCATGAGCACCCCAGCCTGCCGCTCGGGCCATCTTTAAACTTGGATGGGGTCTGTTTGTGTTGTTCAGTCCCACTAGCCTTTGCCACTGTGTCCCAGGAGCCAGGTCCTGTGCTAAACCCCATGATGCCTTCAGAGATTAGCTCCTCAAGGAGCCTCTGCACTACAGCATGGGAAAGGACAAAGATACACCTAATGCGGTGCTGAAGCAGGCCACAAGCCAGGCAGAAGAGAGTGCAAAGTTCACCTAAGCATAGGATGCTGAAGGGGCTCACTGCCAGCTGAGATGGTCAGGAAAGGCTTCTTGGAGAAGGAGCCCTTTAGGATGGGCCTTGAAGGCTGGGTAGACAATTAACACCCTCAACCCACAGACACAGAAACATTTCCCTAGATGACGGAAAACCTATGGTGATGTCCCTGGCTTCACAGCTGACTGGTTATGAAGAGTCACTTTCCTCCCATGACAGACTATCAACTGGCCCCTTCCTCTAGGAGTGGACACTGGGCCTTGTCACTCCCACTCTCTGACCCAAGGTCAGTGTGTTGTACAACCAGTTGCCACGTCAGAGGCCCTTCTTGGCAGAAGGCAGGACCCTGTACTCTTATCACTTGGGTTCTGGAGTGGGTTTGGGTGGAACCAAGGCCTCTGCCCCAGGCCGGTTCTCACTGGCGGCAATGGTGTCGTTCTTTGCAGGGTGGTCCTTGTGGAGTCCTGGCGGCTGTCCAAGGCTGTGTCCTACAGAAACTCCTGTTTGAAGGAGATAGCAAAGCTGACTGTGCTCGGTAAGTCAGTGCTCATTTTGGCAATATCTTCTTTTCCCAGGTCTTCTCCAGAGTGTCCAGAAAAAACAAGCAAGGAAGCATGTGTGTTCCCTGATATTTCCTGTCTTTTGCAGGTCAGGAAAGGAAAGGGGTAATGGCATCTATCTGACAAGGCCTGCACAGACCAGTGTTAAGGGGATTTGTGCGCGTTTGTTTCTAAAAGCGGGGAGGGTTCATCAGTGGTGCTGCACCCGGGAAGGGGCTGCAGGAATGACAGTGAAACCAGTTTTCCCTCTTCAGACGGCAAGCTGCCCGAATCCTTTCCACCCACCAGGTCGCCTGCTGACCTTTTGACTGAGTCCAGGCCTCCCCTCCTTCCCCACGCTGTCAACCCTCTGCCAACATTCATAACCACACATTCCAGGCCGCCCCACAGATCATCGCTTCCACTCCCTGTGGCCTTCAGTTTCTATTTCACACATAAAGTGTTTGCACATGGGCACCTCATTCTCATTCATTTAGTACACATTCCTGGAACATCTCTATGCAGGCACAAGTGATACAGGGGAGAATGTGATGAGTTCTCTCCTCTCCAGAAATGCTCCATGAGGTTGAGAGGCAGATAGAAAACCCCAATCCCATACCATTGTTGGTGTCAAGATGAAAGGGTTGGCAGAGCACTGTGGGGCTGGAGGTGAGGCCTCCATAAGGATCTCCGTCCCTGCAGGCCGGGTTACCAGCTTATACCAAGTCACTCTCAGAGCTACCGAACTTCTGGTAATTGGCCTCTTGTTAAAAAATTTTTTCCGTTAAAATATAATGTGTACAGAATAGTTATATTATATGTGTTCTGCTCAATGAACTATCACAAAACCAAACACCCATAAACACATAGCCTAGATTAAGAAAAAGTATTTCTAGGACTCCAGAAGAATCCTCTGCTCCTGCCCAGCCGCTACCCCCATTCTCTTGAAGTTACATTAATAATTAAATGGATTTTAAAACCATAGCTTAATCTTGCCAGATTCTGAACTTTATTGAAAGGTACTTGCTCTTTGAAATAAGCATTTGAGAACCTTTTTTAAAAAGCCTAGGTGTTACCCAGACAGCAAGGCCCATTCCCCATGTATTCCTGGGAAAGACACTGTTCACTGGGAGAGCCATCCAGCCAAGCTTGGTCCTCCAGTGCAACACATTTCAACAACATGGATGATTTCGCCTTAGATAGGGTTCAAGTGAAGGTGGCTTTTCATGCTTGGCATCTTGTAATTTTTCCAGTGGTTTTGCACAGAAATAATCAAGGTGTTTTCTCTCAAACCAAAGATGCTCATCAGAAACACAACAGCGTGACAACTCTATGGCAAGATCTCACCTGTCTTTGTTCTTCTACTTCCCCTCCTCTTTACTCTCAGGTCCATCCTGAGAGTGGCTCTTGTCTGTACGGGATCATGCCCCACTGCCTGCTCTTGAAGTTCAGCCCACAAAGGGCTGGGAGGTTTGAATGTCATGGGCAGAGACCCTGCCATCAGCTCTCTCCTTGGTGGGTTCAACACAGTCCTGTATGCTCAGGAATGTTCCTGACTGGGTGGAACTTTGCTAAGTGAGAACCGCTAGCTGCCCTCAGAGGGTGCAGGGATACTGAGCACATATGCACACACCTGCCTACCTATCTACCTTCCTTCCTTCCTTGCACTGAAAAAAATGTGCAGAGTGTACTTACCAGGTCCTTAGCAGGGATATGGGGCTGAACAAGACAAATACAGGTGCCCTTATGGAACCTTCGATTGAACAGGAGAGCCAGACAGGGACAGGTGGTTACAGGGGACATGCAGGATGCTAAGGTTCACCTGGACATGAAGGGGCTCAGGGAGGGCTTCCTGGTGGAGTGACATTTTCCTCTTACGGAGTTATGAAGGATGGACAGAACCCCTGACTCCCCTTCATGCACATCCTTGCACACTCTCATTTCCCCTCAATTTTTTTTCCCCTCCTGGCAAATATTCTCAAACTCCTTCCTGGGCCCTCAGGCTCTGTGTTCAGGTGCTGTGCCTGCTGGGTCCTCTCATTGCACAGAGGCCACATCTTTGTGGAGGCCTCCTCAAACCTCCCCCATTAAGAGAAACCCAGGCCCTGCCTCTCATAACTCCACTGCCAGTTGGTGTTCTTGTTCATCGATGTGGTTACCTGTCCACATCTGCCGCCACCTATGGCCCACCCCACTCCAGAACACAAGCCCCAGGAGAACAGGGACCCTCCTGAGCTAGTTCAGAGCCAGGTCCCTGGCATCCAGCCCTGTGTCTTGTCCACAGAAGAGGCCCTCAGAATTTTTGTTGAGTGAACACATGGACAAATGAGTGAGTTATCCAAACAGGGAGGGGAGGCGGAATGGTATTCCAGTAAAGAGAACAAGATGTGGCCAAAGGCCTGTGGGCAGGGAGAGGAGCAGGAAGTTGCTGAGGGTGGTTAGGGCAGGATTTGGAGGGGCAGGGTGGGACCTGGGGTAGTGGCAGGTCAGCACCAGGCTGCCAGAGGGGCCTAGGGTGCCGTCAGCTGCATGGATCAAGCCTTGGCCTTGGAGGAGATTGTCTCTCAACTCATTTCAGCCCAGTGCTCCTTCAGAGTTGCTTTTGAACTTCATGTGGGCTTGTAGGGGAACTTGCAGATGGTTTGCAAACAGTTAGGACAAGGCATTTAAGTACGTTCCTGGAAGGGCTGACTCTGCTCAGGGCACAAGGGAGACTTGGTTTTTTGTTGCCCCACCCCCACCCCACTAAGGGGATGTGAGAGCCTTTGTATCCCCCAGGCCACATCCGTGGGGGCCGAGCTCTGCTCTCCATACCAGGGAGGGAAGCCAGGCCTTAGAAGGCAAAAGTCATCCAGGTTGGGATTCCAGGGGGGGTTCTGGGTAGAAAGAAAACTGCTGAGTTGGAGGAGTGAGGTTTCTGTCTGTCATTGCTGGCCAAGCAGGCACCTTCTAGATGCAGGCCAAGGATGGTAAAGCCCAGTCGGTCCTGGGGCCCTGGGGGTGGGCAGAGGAAGAGGGAAGAAGGAGCTGCTGGCCTGTTGGGAATCGTCATGTGTGGGGCTGTACCAGGTGCTAAGGAGCTGAACTGTGCTGGGGATCCTGCCTGGCTGGACCAGAGGAGGTCTGTGCCAGGCAGCCAGGAGAGCATGGCCTGCTGGCCAGGACTCCCTTCTCCAGCAAGCCTGGAAGGATTCATGGTGTGGGAGTGACCTCACCTTTGTTTGGAGCCCTGCAATTCTGGGTGCTGCTTGTAGCCCACCCCCTAGCAGCCCCCACTGCCTGCTGCCCCCGTCACAGTGTTGCTGTGCTGTGCAGGTTGAGTGAAGCAGTCTGACTTCCTGCTCCCACAGACCTCCTAGCAGGCCTCAGGGAACATTCTTCAGACTCAGCTGAGAGGGAGGAGTAGGGAGCCTGGCTTAGTTACAGACCTTGCTGAAAAAGTCTCAGGGGTCTCAGAGAGAGGTGTTGCAGGGAGATAAACTGGGGAGGTACAGAGACCTCCTCCGTGACCCCAGGTGAGGACTCATCTCCTGGTGCTAGGCCCTGGGCATCAGGCATCAGGCCCTCCCCAGCCCTTCCACCCCAGTCTCCTCCCACTCTCCTTCCCTGATCCTGCCTCGGGTCTCAGGTAGATAGGGGTTGGGAAGGAAGAACCCTCCTGAGAACAGGTTAGGGCTTCCATCAGGCAAAGACGGGGAAGACCAGGGAGTGAGGGCCTGCTGTCTGGGGCCTGGAGAAAAGAAGAGAAGGGAGGTGGAGTCCATGTCACTGCTTTGCCAAGGACCTGTAGGTCAGAGACTGGAGAAGGTCGTCCTTGCCATGTGGGTGGGTGTAAACCCCCATAGAGCCCTGCTCCATGCAAGCAAAGGGAAACACTGGGCCATATGGATAGGAACCTCTCTCAGTTCCCAGTTCCTTGGTTTCATTGACTTACAGTTTTCATATTGATTGATTGTGTTATTGATGTTCCTTCAAAAGCCGTGTTGCATGGTTTGGTGTGAGGCTTTAGCAACTCCCTTTTGACTCTGAAATTCTAGGATTTTAGACATGATCCAGCTAAAAAAAAAAAAAAAACAAAAAAACAAGGCAGGCTCCTCTGCTCTCTTCAGGAACATCATGAGACCTACCATCAGCTGCCATTGCTCTGGGGCCCTGGGGAGCTCATGCCTCTGTGGGCCCAGAGGCAGTCCCTGTACTTTCTTGCCTGTGTGCAGGGTCTCCCTGGGCCCTGAAGGCCCCACCTCAGATGTTGTCCCCCACCACTGATGGGGAAATGGTTTTGTGAAAGCTGATGGAGGATGGGATTGTACCCTCCAGGGAAGTCACGCTGAAAAAAAGACATCTTGGCAGTGGTGGTGTTTTTTCTGCAGGACTGTCTGGCTTCATTAAGACTCATTCCATCAGGCCGGCAGCCAGCCTCTCCTCAGTCGGGAAGGATGGAGCTGGGCAGCAGGCCTTGGTGTTTTTCCACTTGAGAAGGTGCTGTGCTGGCTCAGCTCACAGAAAGAGATAAAGAGCTCTTGATCCCCTTGAAGGCCTGGAGAGAGCCACAGGCCAGGAACAGCCCTCAGAGGCGGGTGCAGATCTGAGAGTCAGGGAGTCCAGGAAGTCCTCCTCTCACTTCCACTTCCCCTCTGAAATTGGGGAATTTGAGGCCCAGAGAAGGAGAGTGATTGCCCAAGGCCTCTGTGGACACTGGTAGCAGAATCCATGGTCCTGCAGCCCCAGGCCAGTCTTTCTACGCACAGTTGCAGCTTTTGACCCTGAGAGGGGCCAGAGAGGGCTCTCTGCCAGATTGTCTATAGACTTTTTACATGGTTCCATGGGTATGTCACACTGGACAGGTGAGGCTATTTTGAGAAGGTTAGGGTAGAAACATCTTTCATCTGAAACACTTGGGTAATTTAGATAAAATCAGGATGTATTATTCCCTCAAGATAATTTATTTCCCCTATCTCCAGCTAAATGTCTTTTTCCTGCACTTCTCCTTTGAGGAATTTGACTCTTAAAGAAACTTCTCTTGGTTTGAGAGCCTGGCCAGGTGCCAGCCTCCTGGGAGGAGTCCGACTGATCAGGAAATGCGGACCTGTTTGTCACCAGGGTTTCTGCTGTGCTAGCTGGTAAAGGTCTGGGTGATTCAGATGTGCGCCTCCTTCCCCTGTCGTCATCTGTGGGTGCAGGTTCTTATGCAGGCACATATAGCCCTGGCTAATCTGAGGTGGGTTAAATCAGTGGTGCCCAGCCTTTTTGCCACCAGGGACTGGTTTTGTGAAGACAGTTTCTCCATGGACTGGAGGTGGGGGTGGGGTAGTTTCGGTACAATTCAAGCGCATTGCATTTATCATTAAATTCTCATAAGGAGCACGCGACCTAGATCCCTTGCATGCACAGTTCACAGTAGGGTTCCTGCTCCCATGAGAGTCTAATGCCACTGCTGATCTGACAGCAGGTGGAGCAAAGCTTCACTGGCTCGCCTGCTTCTCACCTCCTGCTGTGTGGCCTGGTTCCTAACAGGCCACAGACCAGTGCCAGTCTGTGGCCTGGGGCTGGGGGACTCCTGGGTTAAATGACAGAACGGCAGGGTTGGAATGATGCTTTGGGGCATCGTTCCAACTAGTGCCTGCATTTGTAGGTGGGTGGGGAAACAAAGGCCAGGGAAGGCAAAGATTTCCCCAGAACCTGTGAGCCAGAAATCCAGCCTAGGCCTCTTTAACTGTCTGACCACTGTACTTTTTCCAACTCCACTGAGTTTTCTAGGAAACCGTCTCAAAAGACAAAGACAGAGAAGGTCCAGGGAAGAATAGAGAGACTGGCAGAGTTACTAACGAAGCCAAAGAAAAGAGTAAGGACTTGTGCTTGGAGACGTGGTGGATCAGAGGAGCTGTAAGCAGAGCCTGTAGGACCAGGGGACAGGCCGCACCCAAGAGCAAGATCTCTTGATTGCATTACATGGTGCTAAAAAGACAGGGTCAAAGGCAAAGGGAGGCTGGTTTCTGAAACTAGGTGCCCAGGACAGTTGGTTCTGCTTGCCCAAGCTCTCCTTCCTTCCTCAATGTTTATTTTTTCCAGTTTTTACTATGTGATCTGGATACATTACTCTATCTCCATGACTCAGTTTTCCCATTTTAAGAAGAGGACATAATAGTACCTCCCTCATAGGGTTGATTTAACAATTCGATGAAATAACACATGGAAAGAGCTTATAACAGTCTGGCACACGATACTCTATATACGTTGGCTTTTCAAACCTCAGTTCTTTTTTTTTTTTAGAGACAGGGCTGGGATGCAGTGGTATGATCATGGCTTACTTCAGCCTCCGATTCCTGGGCTCAAACGATCCTCCTGCCTTAGCCTCCTTAGTAGCTGGGACTGCACGTGCCAGCAAACCTGGCTGATTTTTTTAAAAAAATTTTCTAGATGAAGTCTCACTATGTTGCCCAGGCTGTTCTCAAACTCCTGGCCTCAAGCGATCCTCCTACCCGGGTACTCCCAAAGTGCTGGGATTACAGACATGAATCACCACAGCACCTGGCCAGTGTTGGCTTTTAAAATCTTACTTGTTGCTACACTGAGAAGCTTCCAACTGAGAATTACCTGCTTCAGTAAGTTAGTGTAGAAGTGTTTGAAAGGGGTCTCCTTACTTCCAGATATGGAGCTTTGCCAGCATAGGTGTGTTCTAGGCAGAAAGAACACTCCAGGCATGATTTTGTATAACATCTATCCATGTTGGGGAACACTGGTCACATCTGTGTGGTAGGAAGACACGCCCCCACCCCCACCCCATGTATGTGTACAATGGTGGTTGGAACCGGGGCGAGATTGAGCACAATGCTGGTGGGGCACTGGCTGTAACATCTGAGCTAAGGACAGAACACCCTGGCCTGGGCCACATGGCAGGGGGAGGGGGGGCATGAGGTACTCGGGATGTGCAGTTGACAGTACATGGCCGTCATTTTTATGAGAGCAGGGCATGAAGCAGGAGCGGTGGGGGTGATGGAGTCACACTGTGGGTTCTGAGTCCAGTTTTTTCTCCTTTTTCCGATAAGCTCTGCTTTCCAGGGCCCCCTTAGTACTTGGCGTGGGCTCTCCTGAAACCTAGAGCAGTGTCCTCATCGTTGTTTTCATGATGAACCGTGACCCGGGCCAGCGCTCTCAGCAGCTGGGGCGTCCGGTTCGGTGAATGCTTGGTAACTGTTTCCTCCAAGAAACACGATGGGCTTCCTGAGGCCAAAGAAGTGTCAGGCAGTCAATGTTTTGTTTTCTTAAGTGCTTGAGTGCTTGTTACTTGTCTCATTGGATTTGAAGGATTTCCAGTGTCAGAGGCTTGGTGTCACTTTCATATTAGATGTTGGAAATCCACTTTCCCCTTGTCATGGCCCAAGTGGGGATTTGATGTTTTCATAAGGACAATAGTGATAGGCACCACTGACTGAGTAGTCACCACGTGCTAGGCACTGGGCCATGGACCTTATAAACATCTCGTTTAAAGCTATGAGGGAGGTGCAGAGGTCATTGCCAGTTTGTGGATGAGAAAACTGAGGGGCCGCTGTATTCTCTTAAAGTGATTGGACCGCAGCAGCCTGGGTGTGGGTCACTGGCTGTGTGTCCCAGGCACCGGGCCACATGCTGCCCACTATGGTGGGCTGGGTCCTGGTCTCCTGTTTTCTCTTCTGACCTGGAGAGGAGGGAAAAACTTCAGTATCCTTCTCTCCCCAACACAGCTCAGCATGGAGCTCAGTAATTATTTGGTGACTGATGTCAGGGAACCCCTTCCTCTGTGTTCTTTTGATTCCTAGCAGAGTCTGCATCAACTCCTTTTATTTGTTAGGGAGCGATGAGCTAGCTTCTATATGAGTTTTTAAAAAATTCATGGAATCCAAGAGAAGGCTAGAAATACAGCTTGAAGGAGTCCTGGGAATGGGAAATGGAAAGAAATATGCATATTTGGCTGTTTCCCTTCCCTCTCATTTCGTTCAGGCACCAGGGACCTCTTAGTGACCATTTTTATTGTAGAGAGGCCTCTGCCGTGTTTGATACAACTGACTGTGTGTCCACTTAAAACCCCTTTTCTCCTAAGACTGTGTGACACGGCACTCTCTCCTCATTTCGCCCCTAGCCCTCTGACCCTTCCTTCTCTGCTCCCCTGATTCCTTAGTGTTCCACAGGGTTCCACCCTTGACCACTGCCTCTGCCTTTCCTTATTCTCTCTCTCTCTGGAAAAATCTATGCCCAGCCCTAGCTGCTTTCTTGAGCTTTCTACTTGTCTGACAGCCTTATCCAAAGATCCGAGTGCATCTCAAACTCAGAAAGTCTGAAGTGCAACTCATTATCTTCTATCTCCAGCTACCTCTTCCCGGCCACATCGTCCTTATTTCACCTGGTGGCACCACCATGTGCCCACTCAAAACACAGAGCTCATCCTTGAATCCGTCCTGTCACTCATCCCCACATCCTATGTCTAAGTGTCCAGCAAGTGAGGCTGCTGTCACCTTGGCCCTGGGAGTGAAGAGCACCTGCCTATACATGCTATTGTCTCCAGGGGCGTGGAGGCGGGCATGGCCAGGGCCTGGGCAGGGTCCTGAGATGGCAGGCATTCCCGAGCACTGCTGGCTGTGTCTCATGGCCCCTGTCAGAACTCATGGCCCCGTCTCACACACAATTCTGGGCCCCATCAAGCCTGCAGAGCCCTCTTTGCTCTTATGGGCCCTTTCCTCTGCCTCCTCCTTCTCCAGCCCTACCTGGGGCCCCCCACTGAAGGCACCTTCTTTAACTCTCAGCTGTGGAGACTCCTCCTCCCTGGGCTTTCCCTTGGAGCTCTTGGGCTTCAGGTAGCCCCACTGTGGGCAAGGGAAAGGACAGGCCATCTGCAGAGGGGGCTGCCTAACCACACTAAGCAGAACTGTATCATCTGAGCCTTGTGTCCACATGGGTATAAATGCCTTCCTTTTCTCGTCCGCAGGGGGCTGCAGCCTTCAGATGCCCACCGGACCCGCTGCCTCACCCTGGCCCTTGCAGACATTGTGTGGCGGGCGGGGGGCCGAGAGAGAGCTGTGGTTGCATTGTAAGTGGTTCTGAGGGCTGTGTTGCTTCTGGCTCATTGTCTGCAGCCAGCTGCAGACAAGCTGGCCGTGTGCGCTCCTGTCCTAGGGTCCTTCCAGTACCCACCCTCTGCCACGTGCTGGGATGAGCCTTGAAAGCCAGCCTGATGTGCTGGGCAGCCCCAGATTCAGGGAGAGCCCTGGCCTTCTATGCGGCCCTGTGATGCCCTCTCTGGGCTCTGGTTCTCATGTCGGAATGCATGGTCTGTCTGTCCTGCCTTCCTTCTGAGGGGCTCTGGAGTGACCCCTCTGAGGAAGCCTCTGACCCCAGTGGCCAGGTCCTCTCTATAGTCTCTCATCTGGAGGCCCCAAGAAACAGCCCCTCAGGTTGAGCCAGACCTGACCCCACTGTACTGCTCTTCCCAGTCCCCAGAAAACACTGCCCTTTGCTCTGTCACTTGGGTACCCATCCCATAAAGAAGAAGACTCAGTGAGGTGAGGTGGAACCCAGGCTCTGGACCCAGTTGTCCTGACCCACACAGTATCTTCACAGCTGGTCCCATTCTACCCACATAACCCACACGCAAGGTTTGCTGGCTCTTCAGCCTGACCTGTCAGAGTGGAAACATCACTGTCCCAGCTGTGAGGCTAAGCTGTAGTAAAGGAGATAACTTTTGGGGCCAAAGACCATACTCTGGGGGTACATTGGTCACTGTAGCATAGTGCTTCAGAGAAGGGACTCTTAGGTCAGACTCCCCATGCTGTTGCTTATTGGCTGCGTGACATTAGGCAACTGATACAACCTCTCTGTTTACTCATCTGCAAAATGGGGATGATAAGAACGATGACTAACTTGGATGGTTGTGAGACCTAAATGAGTCAGTATCAAAAATGATATATAATAAACATGAGTATCAGTTTAACTCATTTTATCAATATGAATAACTGATAAATAATTAGAAACATGTAGTGTGTTTGGCACATAAGCTCTACATATTAGATATCGGTATTTATTTTTGTTATTACTCTCACTTGTCTTTGTTGCTCACCTTCCAGTTAACTTAGTAACCCCGGCCCTTAGGATCTGCAGGGCAACCCTGAGAACAGATGGGGCAGAAATTCAGTTGCTCCCTGTTTTACGGATTAGGAAGCAGAAGCAAGGAGAGAGAGGGTGGCTGGTCCAAGAGTACACGGCCACTAAAGGAGCACTGGGCCCCACACCTGGCTCCTGTTCCCCGATACCTTGGGCTGCACACCCTGGGGGAGCCTCAGAGAGGACGGAGGCTGGAGTTCCTCCTGTCAGTGAAAACGAGGGGCAAGTCTGCATTCCGCAGTCTGGAAACACATTTGTCACTTGGGGGTGAGAGTCAGACTTCCTACTGCCAGAGCTTGGGTTTGGGTTTGGGTTTGGTTATTCCAAGCTTTCCCTTTGCGGTCTTTTTTCCATTTCTTTTTTTTTTTTTCTTTTAAATCCTGCTGTTGGAGTTCTCTGGGCCCAGCCTAGTGGGTGAGTTCAAAGTGGGGAAAAACGAGAAACTCTTGGCTCCATTTTCTCTCTGGAGCCACCTTCTTATTTGTCCTTATTTAATGACACATGTGGTTTTGCCCCAGCTGGAGGGCACGCCTTCTCTCCACGCGGAGGACTCATGCACCTTCCTTTCCTTTTTAGGTCTTCAAGAACACAGCAGTTCAGTCCAGCAGGGAAATACAAAGCAGATGGAGTCTTAGAAACAGTATGGGTTTCTGGAAAATTATCACGTAACCTTTGGCTTTGTTTGGGGACTCTCTCCTTTCATATAAGTAAATCCTTCCTCAGCTGGGGACAGGCTGGCCTTCCCACAGCCCAGGTCCCAGGAATGCTAGTCCTGGGATTAGGGTGGGGACAGAAGTGGGGTGCTTTGGGGATGAGCTTCTGCTAGAGTTGGCTTCACGGCCAAGAGGTTGACTGGCTTCCTGTCCCCTCGAGGGTGTGCAGAGCTGAAGTTTATATGGAATGCCTTTTGGTTAAGCCCCAGGCTTCTCTGTGTCCCTCTTCCTCTTTCTTTAGCATCTGCTCTAGGATTGTGGGAGGGGGTGGGGCAGGGGTGGTAAGGAAAGGGAGAGAAAGTTAGAATGTGGGGAGGAACTTTAATAGCATGGAACACCAGCCATAAAGCCAGATCTAAGTCATACACAGTTGGGGAAAAAATGGGAGACATATGTTTTTTTATTTTGGAAAATATAAAAACAGTGAAGTTTTCAGCTACCTCTGCCAACCTTTTCACTGAGAATTTTTGTTTTAACTAATTAGTTTCATTTGACCTCAGTTTGGGCATGTGTTGCCCTGTTACCCTAAGTACTGGTCTCGCATTGTTGAATGTTTTCTCTTGAATTGTTTTTTCCTGGCCTGCAAAGGAGACTCATAGGCTGCTTCCCGCTGAACTCAGGACACGGCCTGTTGGCTTCCACCTGGCCTGGCTGTTGTGATCTGGATGTGGCCCCTGCCTCATCCACCTCCCCACCAGCCTCCTTTCTGATATCAGTGACTCACCCATGGGGTGCAGCCCTCCCCGGTTGGGGCAACACAGGATGCTGGAATTTGGGGGTCTCAGGCTCGGGGCTGCAGCAGGGCCACCTGAACCCCCGGCGACTCCAGCAGTGCCAGCCAGCCTTTCAGTCACAAACAGGTATGGCCTTGCCTCTCAGCCCAGACCTGGGGATGCTGCTGTCTGACACAGGGACATTCCGAAGTGGGGTTTTTTTAGCTGCTGAAGCCAGGGAGCAGAAGCTAATCCCGGATGGGGTACTGCACGGGGCTTGGGCCACTCACCCTGCGTGTTTGTGTCTTCTCAGCTCACGCTCTACAGTTTGGCCTGCTATGAGGACCTGGTGACTTTCCTTCAACAAAGCATTCATCAGGTATGAACTGTGCCTTACTCCCATGGGATATGCGTCACCAAGCCTTCTGTTTCATTGTAGAACTGGAGTTGTTCTTCCTGTCCTCCCATCCCGGGGTGGCGAGGAAGCTGGGAAGGAGTCATGCTGGCCCCTGGGTGGGGGGCTGAGGAGAATGGGCTTGGGGCAAGGGATCTGGCTTCTGCCATTGCATCCTCGAGGGCTGGTCCTGGAGGCAGGGCACAGGGAGCAGCCACAGTCAGGGCTACCGACAGCAGAGCTGGACGGGTGGGTTCAGGACACAGAGGAGGCAGCTGTTTGATGGAGGTCACCAGAGCTTTCTCTCTGCCGGAGTGGAAGCAGTGCCTCTGGAACATAGGAGCTCTTTGTCAGTGGAGTGGGTCCTGGGACCAGCTGGTGCAGTGACCAGAAAGTGGCTTCCTGGGAGGGTTGGAGGGCTTAGCAGTGTGATGCACACCTTGATTGGTGTCCCTGGGGTGGCAGGCCTAGGTGGGGGTTCTGGAGTCCCCTGTCTGCCAGGGTAGAGCTGAACATCCACTCCTGGCCATGAGCTGGGTGGGGCACGGCCAGGGCCAGATAGCAGCAGATCTCCAGGGCTCCGAGAAGTCACCGCAGAGCTGCAGCATCACAGGCTCTGTGAGGAGGGGCTGCACACTCCACGAGTAAAGAACGTGATCTCTGGAGCGGTCGGCCTAGCTTTGAATTCAAATTCACCCTTCAGTAGCTCCATGACCTCAGGCAACTTACTGAATCCTTCTGTACCTCAGTTTCCCCACTTGTAAAATGTGGATAAGAACAGTGCCTGCCTCAGAGCATGGTAGGGCAGCTGGGCGGTGCTTGATGTTCTCCCTAGTTGTTAGCTTCTGTTGTTGACACTACCATTGCCATTGTAGTGATGCTCTAAGGGCAGCCTTGAGATGGGCTCCTTGTAGACATGCAGAAGTGAGAGGGAAGCATTACAGAAGGCAGGTGTGGCATGAGCTAAGGCCAGGAGACCCGAGACCTCTGAGACCCCCACTGTGAGGCCTCACAATTCTGACATCTGTGTGTCAGGATTGAGGCAGAGGAAGAATGCAGACCTTTCTCTCCTGGTGTGCATGCCAGTCCCTGAGCCTCCGCTTACCTTTCCTTTGGCCTTCTGGATGTGGGATCTTCTCTTTTCGGCCCCAGGAAGGCACCTAGAGGGTTTGGTGGTAAGCCAGAGCTTGGTAGAACTTGCTGGAAATGAGATCAGGACTAAAGCCCCTGCTGTCAAGACTGCCTTCCGCAGAACTTTTCCAAAGACCCCGGAGGCCTGGGTATAGCCCTGGGAAATGACCAGGCCCTGACAGCACCAGCTGTCCCTTAGGTGGACAATGGAGCCTGCCCCAAGAACAAGAGGAGGCAGGTGAAGTCACCGGAGGCTCAGTCCACCTGAAGTACTTTCACCCATAGCCGAGACAGAGGCCTCGGAGCCCCTCCCAAAAGCATGGATTAAGATGGCTCCCTTTCTGCATGGGTTGCTCTGTCCAAGCGCATGGGAGTGGGAGTACTGGCCGAGGCATCGGGAACCCCGGGCTGTCTTTCCCTTGCTGCCTGTCCCCCTCTCTGGTTTTTTATCAGAGTCATCCAGCAGGCCATCTACTGATGCAGTGCATCCACTGCCTGGCCTTGACAGGGGAGGCCTGGAGCAGGGGCCTAGGTGCCTCCCCTGGCTTATTCCTTCATCACATATGGCCTTGGGGAAGTCACTGGGTCTCAGTTTCCTCATCTGGAAAATGGAAGATGGAGCAGTTGTCAGGTAGCTTCCAGCTCTTCATCTTCTAAGGGTGGTCCTCGAAGAATAATCTCAAACACATGGAGAAGGATGTCTTCCAAATGTAGTACCAGGCAGTCTGAACGAGAAGAAAGGGGACCTGCTATTGATCCAGACCGTCATGAGAGTGCAGCAGTCACAGGAGAGATGAGCAGAGCCTGATGGCATTCGTGCAGGGCATCTGGCCAGGGTGGCCAGGAATGGGGGGTACCTGGTCACACTCTCAGCTGAAGCAGAGCATTGAACCACAAGGGCCAGGAAAAGGAAGTGACTGGTGAGGCTTCAGGGGCCAGGGTGGAGCCTGAGGGTGATTGCTCAAATGACCACTGATCCTGAGGCTTATAGCGGCCCACAGATGGACTGGGGTGGCCCCTCAGCACCAGGACCTCTGCATCCTTGTCTGTGAGATGGGACCGCTCCCTTAGCCTGTACCCCAGGGCTTTGATGTGGAAGACAGGGACTGTGGAAGGGTTCAGAGAGTAGGGTCTGCAACAGGGCGAGGGGCCTCCTCCTTCAGTGATGCCTCTGGACTCAAAGCCATCCCCTCCTCGCCTGGATTTCGTCCTTGGTACAGGCCGTCAGTGTTCGGCCCTCCTCACTCTGCTAGGCAGCTCTCCCCCTGCAGTTCATGTTTTTGCTGGAAGTGGTTGAGCTGCCTCAGCACTGCCTTCACCAAATTCATTTTTCATGGCCTGGGCCTAAGAGGGGTTCCTCGTGCCAGGCCTGGAAATGCAACCAAGCCATCTCTGCCCAAAATAAATAGGCTTCTTGCTGTGTTTTCATTATTGCTTGCCCTCTGGGAAAGGTGTCTGGCAGGCCCCTGGCCAGCTGGAGGATGCCCCCACCTCTGCCTCCCATCAGAGTTCCTTGGTGGACTCAGGTCTCTGTGGAGTGCAGAGCAGCACTGGAAGAATGGAGCCTTCTTCCCAAGTGGCACCAGACATTTTTCTAGACCCCGATGGCAGTGTCCGGGCAAATAGCCCTGCCTGACCTTGCCTTTCATTGCAGGCATGTTGCCCTATGTCAATTGTCAGAGCACTTCCTCCCATGTCGTGGCAGCTTGAATTTGATGAGATAATTTTAATAAAACTTTAAAAAAACAAAATGGAATATTGGTGCCATTTAGTTGTGTTCCAGCAAGGGCAAGGAGCTTCAAGCAGGGTTCTTCCCCACCCTCTGCAGAGAGGCGTGTCCAGGGCTCAGGGTAGGGGTGAGGGTCTCCTTGAGGGTGTTCCTAGGACTGGGGGAAATGCTGGTATAAATAGTAATAATTTCCCCAAATTTACCCAGAGTTGGGGCCTAGAGTGGGCTTTTGTGTCAATTACTTGATTGCAGGTAGATAGGCATTGCAGGCATGGCAGAAGGGGAAGTAGACCAATTTGTGGCAGATTAGGCTTTCTGTGGAGAGGGACACTGAGACTAAGAGCTTCATGACTTCCCTAGGCAGCATGCAGAGCTGGGACAAGGGGCCAGTGGTCTAAGTCCTCTTGGGCCTGTGACCCCCTGTGCAGGAGGAGACATCAGCATTACTCTTTACAATTGTCAGAGCACTTCCACAGACATGGTTTCGTAGAATGTCCACCATAAGCCGAGGAAATAGGCCAGGTGGGTCTTCATTGTTATTCTTTTGCAAAGAGGAAACTGAAGGCAGCAGAAATGAAGCGACTGGCCTGAGATCACAGAATTAAGATGGGGTTGATTTAAGATTGTTATTGATTCGTTCATTCCATTCCTTCTTAAAAAAAAAGGTTTGAAGTTGCTTTTAAAAGAAAATGATGTCCTCAGGGCTCTGCTGTGCTCCCGCTTAGCTTGCCGTCTCTTGCTTGTGGGCCTGTGTGTGCTGCTCCTCTTGTCTGGAGCAGCGTTCACTTTTCTGATTTGTGTCTGTCCTCTGGGTTTCTGGTCAGACATCACTTTCTCCAGGAAGCCTTCCCTGCTACTCTCTCCCAAGCTCGAAGTCTGTGTTAAGTCCCTCCCTGTGTGTTTCCAAAGGATCCTGCATTTCTGTTGTGGCAGAACCCCTCCTGCCAGCCTTTTCAAGTTGCTTACTGTTTTTGCTTCTCTCAATTACTTCCCCAAGAGGAGAGATCCATATTCACCTGGCTCACAAGTACAGCCTTAGCCAGGAGCGTCCTCTTGGCACAGAAATTTCACCAGTTCATTTTTTAAAATGACCGATTGACCAAGTGAATTCCTGGATGAAAATAAACAGTACATTTTGAGGAAAAGAAAAGATAATTTTATCAGAAGTTGAGCTCTAATAGTAACCATAGTAGAACACTATGTTTGGCTTTGAGCTTCCTGGCAGCCAAGGCAAAAATGTAAACGTGGTAAGTTTTATAATTTTCATTATCTGTTCCAGGAGAAACAAGTTGAGATTTTTTTTTCTTCTGATTTTAAGTCCAAAATGTGATTACACATAAGGAACACCGACTATTACAACAGGCAATGTCTTCAGTCATAGTTCATGGTTTCCAAAGTGGGATGGGTGAGGCCTTCACACTGACTTAGCAGAAGTGATATGGTCCATACCAGTAGGCTGTGGCCCACTAGGCTCACTGGACAAATGGGCGGTGCAGAGCCAGCTTTGTACTAACAGCTAACACAGGTGCCAGGCCCCGTTTGAAGTGCTTTAAAAGGATTAGCTCACTTAGTTTTCACAACTTGATGAGGGTAGGAGCTGTGATTATTACCCTCTTTTTACAGAGGAGAAGACTGAGGATAGAGGAGTCTAGGAAGTTTTCATCGTCATATAGCAAAGAGTGGCAGAGTGAGGAGGTAAATTAGGTGGACAGGCCCCAGGACATGGGCTCCAAACCAGAGTTGGGAGGACTACTTACTTTGGATGCAAAATCTAAGGGGGTGCCAGAAAACTCAGATGTTAGCAAAACTATCTTTTTTAGAAATCAAAGTTAATCAGAAAAATCCGCAAAGGACAAAATGCCAAAATGTTGATATTTTAAAATATTAAAAAAAAAAAGTTTTTAAGACGTGCATGTGCATGGCTGCTTCCTTTGCCCTCCAGATCCTGACTCCGCTCCATACCTGCTCTTGGCTGGAATTAGAGCCCCCTGGAGTCCCAGTGTGCTGCCGACAAGCTGCATGGTCTTGGACAGCTCACTCAGTTTCTGAGCCTCAGTTGCACATATGCTAGAGGGCAGTAATAATAGTATTGTCCCCCAGGCCTGTTAGAGTGTTCGACGTGATAATGCCCATAAGACACTTGCATCGTAATGGAGCTGGCCACGACTGTTGCTGTCTTGTGAGTTTTGAGGACTCCAAGGTCACTGTTGTTCTCTGCAGTGGCTCCTGCATCACCCTGACTCTGCTGCCATTGTCATTTGGGCTGTTCCAATGCCCTGTCCTTTAGGAGGTCAGCCCTTGGGCCACCCAGCAACCCCAGGGCTGGGCTGGAGGCATTTGGCTCAGGGAAGGCTGCTCCCTGGGGTGTGACTCCCACAGAGGTGTGGGGCTGGGAAGAGGGAAGTACTGATGGCATGGAGCTCATTTTTCTCTTCCCTCCCAGTTTGAAGTAGGCCCCTATGGATGCATCCTGCTCACCCTGTCTGCCATCTTGTCCAGGTCCACAGAGCTGTGAGTATCTTTCTCCCTGAACTCTCTGGGGCTGGGCTGATCTGTCTTGTTCACTGCTGCCTCCCTAGAGCCCAGGATGGTGCTTGGTGCGTGGTGAGGGCTCCGAGAATGTTGTGGAAATGATGAATGAAGCAGTGGAGTAGGGGAAGGTCAGCTGGTAGAGGAGAGAGAGTAGTTGCATTCTACATAGACACATGTCCAGGGCTACCATGTGTGCGGGGGACAACCTGAAAGACACGCCACTGGCCCTCAAGGAGCTTGCCTGGGACTGCAGCATGTGCACACTTGAGCACTCAGGTAGAGGCCCCTGGTACATGTGCAGGGATGGACAATTGAGGCTGAGACCCAGGAGACGACGGAGGGCCCCCAAAAGCTCAGGACAGGGAGGCCTTGCTGTAGACCAAGGCGAGGACAAGACTGGCATCCTGGGTGGTGAGTGGGTGGTGCTTAGGTGGCCCTGGAGGCAGGGATAGGTGGTAGGGTGGCTTGTGCTAATCTCCCTTGCCTGACTCATGTCAGCTGGGTCTCTGTGCTGAGTCTGCATCGGGTGAAACATGGCCCCCCAGCCTGCACTACAGCTGGAGTTTCTCCATGAAGCTCATTCCCTCGGAGGTTTTTAGGTCTCTTTGTCTGTATTTGTCACCTAGGCATGTCACCAGGGAGTGTAGCAGATTAATAGCGCATAAATGGTTGTGGGAAGTACAATCGATTGCCCCATTCACTTTCAAGCAGAGAGTCCTGGGGGAGTGAATCTTACTTTGAAGGGTACCTAGTGGGGAGGACTTGGAACAGCCCTCAGCAGGTGGGCCCTGGGAAGTGGGGAGGCAGGGTGAGTAGACTTGTGGTGCCCAGAGGAAGGAGATTGCAGCAGGAGACACTTCCCCGGCCTGGCTGGGCCTGTTCGGCGCCCTCCCTGTTCTAGGGGCCTCTGCTGTGGATTTGGGGGAGGACAGGGGGGCTCTGTGGCCTCGTGCGCCGGGTTGCCTGCTGCTTGCTGCTTCTGACCTTATTAAATACGTGTGAGTGCACAGTGATTTCTAACTTCTAATCCTGCCATAATGATATGATTCATTCCTGGGGTGGACTCAACGTGCATAGAGACCATAAGATGCACCACCTTCTCCCCAGGACTGGGTTTGCTCCTGGGTTGGCTCATTCCTGAGCTGACAGGTTGGGTGGGAGTTTCCAGGTCTCTCTGAGGGGAAGCTGCACTCTCAGGAGTGCCAGGCCCAATTATGCCAGCCTCAGTGTCCCCACCCGTGCAGGGACCATCTGGCTCTGGGAGTCTAGGGCTCCATGCTCGAGTGTGTCTATTCTGGTGGTCACCGGGGCAGCCTGGGAGTGGGCGCCTTGTTACATGCATGCTCCTGCCTGTAGCCCTCTCCCTCTGAAAGGGGCTTCAGGCCTCCATGCCCAGGCCACTCTTGATGTTGTGCAGAGCTGGGGGACTAGGGCTGCTGCTTCCCCCTCCTACCCTGTCCAACCAAGCTGGACACCTGTTGGGCATTAGTGTGGGGAAGGCTGCCCTGCTGGACCTACATGGCCTCATGCTGCTGGGCCTGAAGTCACAGCCCTGCCAACACGTACACACAAACACAAACATAGATATACATACATGGACACACAGATATACATGGATGTGCATACACGGCCATATACACAGACACATAGAGACATATGGACACATAGACACACAAAAGCACACAAAGACATGGACACACACACACAGACACACATTCCAGCTGTTCTTCCAGGTCACCTGAGGCCCTTCCCTGGGTTCTATAGGCAGATGGTCAAGGCCCCTGGGGCACCATGGGCCTCTGCATCCCAGAGGGCCCCATAGAGCCCTGCTGTTGTATTAGAGCCAGCAGGCAGGCATGGGTTGGGCTTCATCTTACCCTGTGGCCTCCCTCTTCTCCTCTCCTAAGATGACAGTCTGGACAATGTGGAGGCAGGTGTCATTGTCAGCCATAAGGATAGAGTCTGTGAAGCTTCCCGTGTGCCAGACCCTTTGCCTTAACCCTTTGCCCACTAACGCAAAGAATAGTCCACAGCAACCCTGGTAGGTGGGCACCCTGTGAGTGCTCTCACCATCCTTGTTTTTCATAATAGGAAGCAAGGCTCAGGGAGGTGAGAAGGCTTCAAGATTATACAGCAAGTGAAACTGATGGCCTTGGGCTCCACTAGGTAGTCTGGCCCTGGAGCCAGCTCTTTGGGTTTGCTGTTTGAAACCCTGAGCTTTGGAAAAAGTTGGCTGGTTTTAGGCATGACTCTCTACTCCTCTATAGAGCTCGAGTTTCTTCCTCTAAAATGAGAGTGAGGATTCCTGCCTCACAAGATGCATCTGTGCTTAGCACAACTCCTGGTGGGTACAAACTGGGAATAATGGCCATAGCTGGTTTGACCCTATCCCAGGAGCTCACATGCCTCTGTGTGCCTTCTTGTCTCTTCTTGCCTGCAGCCTTGGCTTGAGGCCCCGTGGTGGAGGCCATGCTGCCATCTCAGTAGGCACAGCCACAGGGATGTCCGCAGTTCCCAACAGGGCTTCTGCAGTGACACTCACCCTTGGCAGGCACGTCCTGAGCAGCTGAGAGCTCCCTGTGCTGAGTGCCTCTGGAGGGGTGAAGGAGGGACCATGGGGCCAAGCCCCACCCAGGGGTATGTAGTTCAGAGGTGTACTTGAGAAGATAAGAGAACTTTACACTTTCAGTTAAACCGAAGTCTTCAAATGAGGAAGAGGGCAGGCCTTGGGCCGCCTGTGCTGCCTGGGGGCTCCTCCAGATCAGTGCTCCCTCCTGACTCTGGCATGCTCCCCCTGAGGGGCTGCTGGAGATGTAGGCATCTGAGTGCAGCTGACCCTCCCACCCACCTGGGGCCCAGGGGAGCTTCCTGAAGAGGAAAGACAGGAACATCAGCAAGGCTGGGAATAGTCCGGGCAGTCATGGCGCTGCCCAAATCCCGTGAGACAGCCACACTGAGATTATTTCAGATAGCATGCTAGCATTCCTGCATGTGGGAGGGCACCCGTGAAGAAGCCATTCTCTGGCTTTCCAGAGGGGAGTCCCTAGAGCAGCCCATTCCCCTCACGTGCCAGTCACGCTGCACTCCAGGGGCGCTCCAAGCACACCAGCACCTTGGGCCTTGGCTCTCGGAGGGGTGCCAGGCTCTGCTGAAGGTTTGTGGTGATTGGCAGGGCAATGATAACAGTTCTGGGGCTGGAATCCCACCTCTGCCTGCTACCTCCCGAGCCAGCAGCCAGCAAAGGTCTTCCTCTATAGACCTTTGGACACTTGGGTGTAAATGTCACCCTCCTCGGGCACCATTAGGCTTGTCCAGGGAAGCCCAGTGGGGTGGCAAGTCGCGGGAAAGCACTCACTTCTGGGTCATAGTGTAGCACCAGGATACCTGAGTCCTCAGCACAACTCAGTTGCCCACAGCTGTGTGACTGACCCAGCCTGTGCCTTAGGTTCTTTATCTAACCAGAAGGGTTGGGCTGGTGCTTTTTAAACTGTTTGTAGTGAAAACAAAATCTGATTTTTTTTTACCCAAATAAGCTTTGTTCTCAAGTTCACTGTGTGAAGCAGATGCAGCAGAATGACTTTGATTAGAGCAGCAGAGGTGGGAGGGCGAGGCCCCTGCTGTCCCTCCCCAGCCTCCCAATCCAGTACCAACCCCTGCTCTCCAGCCACGGCCCCTGAGCCTCTGCCTTGGAGAAGCCCCAGCCCTGCATACACAGCTTAAAAACCTCAGGACCAGATGATTGCCGAGGGCCTTCCTGCTCTGGGGTTCAGATTCAGCTTTGCCAGAGAATCCTCTGATGCCATTTCAGGGCAATCTGTTACCACTTTGGGCAGTTGAAAACATGTCCTGATGACACAAAGAGACAGCGGAGTCTCTAGGACCAACTGCAGTTCAGCTAGAGAGAAGTGGAGTGGTGGGCTGGGAAAATCCACCCCAGTTCTTTACAAATACAGTGTGTGTATGTTACATTTGTGGTGGTGTGATTGTAGATGGGAGACGGTGACACTGTATGGCCGGGTGTGAGATGACATGGGTGTTGGTGGTTGTGTTTGAGATTGTGTGAAGGGTGACTTGATTGTGTACATGCGCTTGTGATTGTGATGTGTGATGGAGACGGCATGGTGGTCCCTCCCTCCTGGTGAGGGTTCTCTGACTCATGCCTGGGCACTGGAGGCTTCTCTTCTTTGGCCTTTGTACCAAAGTCAATGCCTCCTGTTTGTTAGCCATTCCTAACAGACCAAAGCCAGGGTGCGGACAGCATGGGCAGACGTAAACCTAGCTGAGCACTGCCAACCACTGCCTGCCTGGCCCCAAGAACCGTCGAGAAATAGGCCTTTGAGGTTTGTTTATCTCAGGCTCTGTGCAAAGCCTTGTGAAGGTTTTTTTTTTTACCCCACTTGATCTCAAGCTGTTTATTTTCTTTTCTAAGATCTCAAATTGATTACGGTAAATCGCATGCAGGATTTCATGCTCACATAGCTCTGTTGCTTTCCAAATGGCATGGCTAGAACTTTCCCCAGGGAGCTCTTGCAAGCGCCAAAGATGCTCAGAGTCCTGGGGTCAGGGCCAGCTCTGAACCAGGCCTGGGTGGCACTGTGCACGGGCTGTCCCAGTGCCTCAGTGAAGCACAGGCCTGGCCAGGTTGTTGAGAGGGTGCAGTGGGGGAGAAAACCTTTTCATGCAGTAGATTCTTGGCCTTCATTACAGCAGCAACTTCAGTTGCCCAAAGCCAATCTTGAAAGTCTGGAAGAGGTGGTAGCTTGTCATTTGCAGAAACAGTTTTTAAACAGCACAAGCTCAGTGCTAAGGGTGAGGGATGTCACTGGGCAGGACCCACACCATGTCACTCTGTGGCTCTTTGTAACTCTCCTCAAGAGATTAAAAGCAATGGCAACAACACAACAGTTTCTTCCTTTGTGCAAATAGTTCTGAAACAAAAGCCAGCCGTGAGCATTGGTTGGAAAGACAGTGACAGAAGCTCGATTCCCAGCCAGTGTAAGCGGAAACAAACCTGCTGACTCCTCCTGTCAGAAGCCTGGGCTTTAGGAGCGGCTGCACCCAGGAGCCCAGACATGGTCCGTGGGACTGGGTGTCTGTCCTTTCGTGTCTTCACCCTTGGCTCCTCTGTCCTAGCTGTGTGCTCAGGAGGGTCCTCCTGCACAGTGGGCTCAAGAGAGCCTTTCTCCAGAAGCTCCTCAGCATGCTGGGTGCTGGGTGCCATTCCTGGTATGATTGCCATGACCAGGTCTGGGCTGAGCCATCACAGGCGTATGGACATGGGCTGTCCCCAGAAGGCAGTCACTGCCCACACAGGGCCACCACACCTGCTATAAAAAGACAGGGCAGAGTCAGGAAACAAGTGTATCTGAGAACAGGAGAGCAGATGTGGGTTTGGGGTGGGCTTCATGGAGGCCCCTCCCAGGCTCCCAGTAATAAAGAAAAGAGATCACCAAGCTTTCTGTTCAGCAAGTGCAGGAAGCACTCACCCAGAGACCCTCTGGGAGAATCGGGAAGGGGAAGGGGTGGGTGGTTGGTGGGGTGAGATGTGAACAGGGGCTGTTCCCCTTGAGAATCACGGTTCTTTGAGGTTCAGATGTGTTGTTCTGAATGGGAGTGGTCTACAGGATGCTTGTCAGCTTTCCTGGGACTCTGCTGAGCCTCTGCCAGCCCAGAACAATGAGGTCTGAACAGAGCCACCCAGACCAGGAGCCTGACCCCTGGGCTCCTGTTTCCCCACAGACACTCTAGCTTTGTGGCTTACTTGCCCTCTCTCACCTGAGTCTTCCCCCAGGTCACATGTGAGGCAGGGTGGGATGGCTGAGTGTCCTTTCTTCCCAGCGTGCTAAGACCTTTTGAAGCTTAGCTGGGAAACAGGAGGAGAGGAACTTCCTCAATAAACTCCAGCCCAAATTTCACACTGATTCGGATTAGGGCAGAGGCCCCACTAATGAAGATTTTCAGCAGTGTCTCAAGAGGCCAAAGTGATGGTGAAAGGTGGACTCACGGGGTCATGGATGCTTTGAGACTACACTTCCTTCCACTGACTCTGTTCTCTCTCCCTGGTCTCATCCCTGGGAGCTACCTGCTCCTCTGTCCCCAGGCCCCTTTACAGGGAACCAAATACTGTCCTGTATATCTCTGCCTTGCTTCCCCCACATGACCCTGCAGAAGACTGAATCTGGAGGCCCAGCCTCAATGAGAGCTGGAGATGGAGGAGAGAGAGAAAGGGCCCTTGCTGCCATTCTGGGCCATTGTGGTCTTGTGGCAATCCAAGGGACAGGTCTACAGGCTGCGAGCCTTATCTCATTTACAGGTGTGGGAACTCTGAGATGTGAAGAGTCAGTTAGTGGCATAGCTGGCAGCATCACCTGAGGCTCCTGGCTTTCAGGCTGAGACCCTGTGCCTGCATTGCCTTCCCTGGGCTGTGGGAGGGGATAAGAGGAGCTGCCCAGCTGTGTCTGCCAACTTAGGAGGAGAGGTGGCAAATGAGGCCCCAGATAGGCCCATACCAGCTGGATGGTTGACTACCTGCTCCTCTTTCCCAGTGCAGCTGGAATGGGCTGGGCTAAAGGAAGCAAACTGTGCCCAGACCAGACCCGTAGGCTGCTGAGATGGCAAGTTACAGCCACTGAGCTGTGAGGACAGTCATTCTGCCATAGACACCAAGCCTGAGAGCTGTGTGGGAGGAGGCTTGCCTGGCACAGCTGAGAGGGGGCCACACCCAGGCCACTGAAAAGCTGGGAGTCTCCTGACCCTCGGTCCTGTGTGCATCTCCTGTCCCTACCCACTCACCCAGGGACCTTACCGTCTTGTTCATGAAGGGCCAGGTGCCCAGAGAAAGGGGACAGGCCTCAGAAAGAGGGAGAGGTAATTAACCTGCTGGAAGGGTCTCCTGTGCCAGAGCAGCCTCAGCTGTGCGGGTGGGCTGCTCACTTCCACCTCCTCTTCCAGCTCCTGGAAGCTGTGCCACCAGCGCCTTTCTCACATGCAGTGTCACCTGGGGTAGGTGTGGGTAGGCTTATGTCATTTAGGGGCATAGTTGCTGTGCCCCTGTGGGGTCTGGAGCCCAGTTCTAGCCCTCAAAGTCCTTGCTGCCTCGAGAGGCAAGACAGGTGTCTGAAAGCAGTTGGTTGGTACCCTTAGGAAGGTGAGGAAGGAGAGGAGAAGAGATGGGGCATTTCTGTCCCTGGGGTGAGTGAGATTATAGAGGAGGTGACATTTAGCAGGTCTCTGAGGGATAAGTGGGAGGGTTTTGGCAGGCAGTGAGAACCAGGTAGGCAAAGGCCACTGGTGGGGGTTTGCAGGGATCAATTGCAGAGGGTCTGGTTGTGGGGGAAGGAGCAGGACATGGTGGGTGGAAAGAGGTGGGTGGCAGAAGGCAGCTTGGGAAGGGCTTTGGCCAGCTGAGCCTGGGCCCCTGCTTTCTCCTCTTTCCTTGCAGGTCCCTCTTTCTCCATCCTGCAGTCTTCCACCAACTCTTTCCCTGCCTTCTGGGCTCCCATCCTAGCCCTCTCTCCTCACGCTTAGAGAATGGAAACAGCTTTGATCCTGTAGCCTGTGGGGCCCTCTGCAGTTTGCAAGACCTGGTGTGGTCTAGTGCCTTATTGCAACAGCCCGTTGAGGTAGTTACTGTTATCCCTGTCAGGGGTGACACATCGGAGGCTCAGAAATGGAAAGCGGTTTCCCAAAGGTCACACAGTGCAGGTGGCAGAAGGGGCCTGGCACCCATTGGTTCTGACTCATTGTCTACTCCCTCTTGGCCTTCCTGGGAAAACAGTGGATATCCGCCCCGTCCAAATCCTCTTCAGATATTCCCAGCTCCATTTCAACTGCTGCTTGGAGGCCTCGGTTTATTCTGGGTTCTTGGCCGTGATATGCGTGGCTGAGATGGCAGGAATCATGACCTCTTGGCCATTGTTTGTTTTGTTTTGTTTTTTGTTATTATTGTTGTTATAGTAGGAAAAAGGAAGTGACATTTACCAAATGCCAGGTGCCTTATATAGTTCATCTCATTCAGTTCTCACAGCAGTCTTTAATAGAAGGAGGCATCATCATACCTATTTTGCAAATGGGGAAACTGAGGCTCAGGGGAAATAACTGGTAAGCGGCAGTAATTGGATTTGATGAGAGCCCTCTGACTTTAGAGCCCAAGTTCTCTTGGTTGTACCACAACTGCCCTTACACTATTGATATTGTCCTTAAAAGTTAATGTAAGTCCCACCAAAGGGCTGTTATCTCTGGGGTCACTGCTGGTTGGTGGGGGAAGTGTGGTCATGGGTCAGTTTCTGGGAGGGGCAAGCAGGAGCTGGCCTGGTGGGACAGAGTTCCTCCAGGGTCCAGTGCCTAGTGGTCAGGTGGAAGGGGGATGGCTGGTTGGGTCCCCCCAGTGTAAGTACTGCCTACCTCAGGCTTGATGTTTTCAATAGAGTCATGGACCAGACACACTTGTGTACATCCCAGGAGGCCCCTAGAGATTTCTTACTCTAGTCCTCTGGTTTTTTAAGCAAAGACACAAGCTGAGAGACAGGTCAGGACACCCTGAGGTCACTCGCCAGTCAGGGGCCGAGTGGATGCTGGTGTTAGGTGAATGGCTGTGGCTGTAGGCTGGGACCATGGTCTCTAGGCCACTTAGACTTATTTGCCTTCTTATTCAGAAACTTTTTTTACCACATGCCCAGATTCACACAGGGAGGCTTTTAGCTGAAGGGACAAGCTGTGCCTGAGCCAGCAATGGTGGGGGCTAAGAGTGAGGCTTTGGAACTCCAGGGCTTGCTCAGAGCTGGCTGGCCTGGCTGATTGCCCCACATTTCAGGCCATAGCAGACACTCTGTGATGTTGGTACTGGGGACAGAGTCCTGGTCCTGCCTACTCTGTGTGACCATACAACCACAAGTCCTTTTTACTGACGAGGCCTCAGTTTCCCCATCAGTAAAACAGAGATGGTGGTCTTACCCTCCTGGCCTTACAAGGCTTTTGAGAGAAAGATGCATTTGAAGGTGCCTGAGACTGTGCACATGGGAGGCTCATGCATTGTGCAGCCTGCTCAGTGGCAGAGCCTCTTCTTCTGAGATGTATGGACAGGGCAGGTGGAGAAGGGAAGCAGAGGGCCCTGAGTTTGAGCTGACATGTGTCACTAACTTGGGGCCAGTTTTCTTCTCTCTCTGGGCACTTATCTTACCTTCTGCAACATTCCGAGCCTTGCAAACTCTCCCAGCCCTGATGTCCCCTTTGTTCTGTTTCTTGATACAGCATAGTGTCTCAGGGACCTTCTGATGGTGGACAGAGTTGGGAGGTTTGGTCCTTGCTGGGATCATGGGCAAAGCTCTCTATTCCTCCTCCTCTGTGTTTCGGTGGTGCAGGCACCCCCAGAGGCTGGGTTGTCATCCCAGACCCTTGTTTCAGGGTTCTGACTCTGCCGCCAGAATGCTGCAGAGGTTGGTGTCAGGGCGGTCAGGGCCAAGCCTCTTCTGTGAGTTTCCACCCACTGGTCAAGCCCACCCTTCCCTTGTGCTTATTGGACTGAAGTCCCAGCAAGCTCTGCTCCCTGGAGGGGTCCCCAGTGTAAGATGGCTTCCATTTCATCTGGTCCTGGGCCCTCCTGGTACCTCGGGCTCTGCAGGATTCTCTGAGGGCTCAGGGTCATCCAGCCCTCAGGAGGACATGGGAGAGACAGCTGCCCGTTAGGCAGCTGCCCGTGGTTAAGTCAGTCCTAGGTAAGGGACAGTCACAGCTGTGGCTCAGGTGGCCCCTGCTCCTACGATGCTGCATGTTCTTGGAGACCCAGGGGCTGATAGAGGAGGAGAAGGATGGGATGAGCCCCCACACTGCCTTGAGCCCCAGTGTTTCATATAATGGGTTTCTGCCTGTAAGATTTCATTTGAAGAAGGGGCTTTGAATCTAAAAAGATGTTGGTGGCCACTTGTGTTGGTTTCCTAGGGCTGCCATAACAACAGACATCCATGTCATACAGCCGTGGCTTCGAGAAGTCCAAGATCAAGGTGGCAGAGAGTTGGTTCCTTGTCAGACCTCTTTCCTGGGCTTGCAGGTGGCCACTTCAGCACTGTGTCCTCACTTCACCTTTGCCCTGCGAGTGTGCATCTTTGGTGTCCCTCCCTGTATCCAAATTTCCTCTTCCAAGTCAGATTGGGTTAGGGCCCACCCTAATGGCCTCGTTTTAACTTAGTCACCCCTTGAAAGGCGCTGTTTCCAAATACACATTCTGAGGTGCTGGAGGTTAGGACTTCAACATACAAATTTTAAGAGGACACAGTTCATCCCATTATACCTCTCATCTTGTCCAACCCCCTCATGCTGCAGGAGGGGAGGCTGAGGCCACACAACAGGCTGGGGCTAGCTATGTGAATTGTCTTCTCTCTGGGCAAAGCTGAGGCTGTTGTTCCTCTGCTTAAGGACTCCTCACACAGCTCTCCAGAGAATTCTCCTAGAGGGAGGTCTGGGCATCTAGGTTTGCCAAAGTTGTAAATCTTTTAAACCATAAGCCACTCTTCGGCGTCTCTCGAATGCCCTGATGTGAAATGCAGATGTTCCTCCCTCTTAAGATTCCAGCACACTGCTGAATTTCCCATCGTGTTTGCACCTAAGGATGCAATTACCATTTCCTCCCATTGTGCTTTCTGCCTGTCCCCCTGCTCCCCAGCTGACGCACGCTCTCGAGCCTGCTGGGTGAGCACGAGGCTGTGAGCTTATGAAGATCGGACTGCTTCTGAAAGCGCCGGGTGGCGTGGGGCCAGTGATGCTTATCGGCTCCCCCCCAGGACTCCTTTGAGGTTATTTTCTTCTCTTCAGAAGATGCTTGTATAAGCTGTGGAGAGCATTTCCATCAATTCTTCTGCCTGAGTTAGCGCCAGCCGAGCACTATGCTCTGCTGTGAGTCACTCCCAGCTGGCTCCTTCCCAGGCCTGCTGGGCTCTGTGGTGGGTGAGCCTCGACCACCCTTCCCAGAAGACTCCCAAGCCTTAGTGGTTCTCTGCAAGTCCCTGCAAGGATAACCCCAGCTCATCTTCTCATGTGGGCCACAAACCTTCTGTGTTTGGCCATGGTTATTTAATACCACAAACAAGTGTTTTCTCAAAGTATTACAGAACTTGACTTCTTAAATTTGTTTCAGAAGGAGACAGAGACCAGGGCGTGTATGTTAGGCTTGTGGGCTTATGGCAGATCTTAGATTTAAAGCATAAATTGAGACCAAGATTCTTTTCTCTTCCTCTGAAAGGAAAAATAAATGTTCTGATTGCTAAGCCCTTCCTACCCCTGGGTTGCCTCTCTGTCTTATACCTGGCCTTTGTCTTTGAGGTGTGGTTGAAGGAATGGGGCAGGCCCTGGACACACTGCTGGGTAGCTGTGTGTGCCCCCTGGGTCAAGTATGCCCCTCAGGGTCATGTGTTCCCCCAGGGTTGTGTGTGCCCTCTAGGGTCGTGTGTACCCCCCAGGGCTGTGTGTGACCCCCAGGGTCATGTGCAGAAGTGGAGGGGACAGGCCTGGGACCCAGGCTGCCTGGCTTTGCCTTGTCTCCTAGAGCCAGCTTCTCTGCACTTCTTCCCACATCTGTAAAATGGAGACAGGAATTCCTGCTTCACCTGGGGCTGGGGGTTGAATTGCTGCCTGCTGAGCAATGAGTAGATAGCAGCTCCTTCCCTGTGTGCTCCTTACAGGGCTCTGTTCAACAGGGTTTTCATCTTCCAGAAGGATTTACCTTGGGTGGCTAAAGGGAACAATGTCTTCATGGTGGGCTTCCTAGCTTGACAGCAAGCCAGGAAGGCAGGTGGAGACTTGGGAGGGTTTTCTACCTGGTGTGCCTTGGGCTTCTGCTTATTGGGATACTGAATTGTTCTGGTCCCTAGCAGTGCTCAGCCCATTTCTTTCAGTTTGGGGAATGTCTTGGGCAAAGAGGCTTTTCACCTTGTATCTTTTGAGGGACCCATTCTGAGGGTGGAACCACAGTGGTACCGTGGGTTCAGAGCCTGGCTGCCCGAGTTTCCCACTGGCCCTATTGCCCACAAGCTGAGCAGCAGCCTTGAGCAGGGCAGTCCCTTATCTGAGCCTTGGTTTTCTCAAAGGGTTTTAGGGAGTACTGTGCCTGTGGTGCATGGTGCAGGAGCTGTGCTCAGGCGGTGCTGACTGTTACTCTAGAACTCAAGGAGACATTAGAGTCCCTTCCTCCCATTTCATAGGCTGGCAGACTGAGGCTCAGAGGTGGGAGAGGATTCCTCAGTCTCCGCCATTGGTAGTGACAGTTGGGATGTGATTTCAGGACACGGGACTCCAAACCCAGGGTCCTTCGTTCTGTGTCATGCTTCAGTCACTATTCTCTGGCATAGGCGGAGCCCTGGTGAGGTTGGAGTGGAGGCCATTGCCCAGAGAACACAGTGAGCTCTACTCGAAGAGGCCTGGGCTCTACCCCATGCCTTCTGGGTGGGAGCCTCCTCCACAAAGGGCAACAGAACACAGAGAGCTCAGGTTCCCACCAAATCTGGAATCCTGGATCTTAGTGTGGAACCCAAGGGGAGCGCCTGGTCACTCACTGAGATTTGCAACCTGGGTCAGGCAGAGCTGTGCTAACAACACTTCTTCTTGTGTTTTCCAGCATCCGCCAGGACTTTGATGTCCCCACCAGCCACCTGATTGGAGCACATGGCTACTGTACACAGGTCAGGGGGTGCCATGGGGCCCAGCTGGTTCTACTCCTCCTCTGTTCCCCAGAGTGGGAGGTGTCCTTCCCACTCCTCTTGCCCGAGAAAGAGGCAAGTTTTTCTTGCCTCTGCCAGCACTCTCCAAGCAGCTTTCACATACCAACCTCTGCTGGGTCTCACCGTCATATAATAGAAATCTAGAAAGGCTGAGTGCAGACCAAAGTGGTGTGTAGCCCAGAGCCCAGGACATGGAGAGTGATGTCTTAGGCATGGGCCAGGAGACCCTGGGTCTAGTTAGGGAGATGGTGGCACTGGCACCTTATACGTTTGCATAAGGTATTGTCTCTATAACCACCCTTTCCTCTGCATCTTTGCACAGGGGTCCTCAATGGATGTCCCGGGGGCAAAGAAAACCCTGAGCACAGTTGCTTGTTATGGATCCTCTCAGTCACCCAGGTGACACCAGGGAAGGGACCTTTTCAAGATGCTACCTAGTGAGCATCAAAACTGGGAACTCAGTTCTACACCTGGCTTCCATCCATGCCTTTCTCCCCATAATGAAGCCTCCCAGAGTGGCCACATAGGCCACAATAAAATCTGGCTCTCAGCACGTGGGGAGCCACAATGCATAGTGTGGACAGGCTAGACAGAGCTGTATATCTTTTGGGGCCACCTGAGGACTCAGTTGTCTTGGGGGTCCTGGCTCACTTGCACCCAGCTCTGGAAATCTACGTGGGCACCATAAAAGGCAAGCTTGGGACCTGTGGTTTGTCCAGGGCACCCAGAGAGGGACGTTGGGGTTGGCTGCTGCCCACCACCCTAGAGAAACACCTCATGGGGAGTGGCTGTTCTTCTGGCTGCTTGGGGAGGGCCCCACTCACACTCTGGACACCTGCCTGCCCCATGGGAACTTCCACTTTTCTGGGCAGAGAAGGATGCTGCCCAGGGGTGGGCAGTCAAGCAGGGTGGAGAGGATCCCAGGTCAGAGTCTGGGGCTGGGTTCCAAGCCCTGTTCTCTGTTTTCACTCACAGAACGAGCTGGGACAGTCTTTTTCTCCTCCTGTGCATCAGTTTCCTCATTTGTACAAAAGGCATTTGGATTTAACCAGGGCTTCTTACACTTTGATGTGAATGAATCCCCTATGGGTCTTGTTGAAGAGCAGACTCAGATATAGTGGGTCTGGGCTGGGGCCTGAGATTCTGAATTTCTAACAGGCTCCCCAGGAAGGGTGATTCTGCTGGTCCACGGACCACACTGAGTAGGAAGGGACTGCTAAGCTTTGCCGTTGTGTGATGTTTGAGTCTAGGAGGCCTGATGCTCTTCTCCTCCGTCTCAAGAAGGCTTTCTGCTATGAGGACAGTTTTAGACACAGATCAGGGAGCAGGGGCTTTTATTCCCCTTTAAAAATCAGATGGGAAAACTCGGACTGGCCTGAAAAAGGCTGTGCCTTTCTCAGCTGCTGCCCCTGAGGTGCAGTATTTTACAGCAGACATTTCCTCCAAATTCTTGTGTCTTGTTTCCTCTGCAAGGACACAATAAGGTCCCTTTGGTATCTCCCTCCAACAAGTGTCCCTCTGCGGCCATCAGAGGAGGCCACTTTTACTGTCACTGGGGCAAGGGTGTCAGTGTTAACTGAGGAATTTTTTTAACGCTCAATGTCATTTTCACAATTCAGGGGAAAACACCTATATAAATGCTGCCTTCCAGAGTTTACACTGGGAAAGGGCCGTTCTGGCCATTCCTACGTGTTCCACCGTGGGAGTGATGCCTGCCTGCTTGCCTCACAGGCAGCGCCAGCCCCTACAGGAGGTGGATAACTCAGAGAGACCTGCCTGCCCTAGCACGGGGGCTAAGCTCACTCAGATTCCTCCTCAGCAGGCCCTTAGAGGCCACCCTTCATCTTGAATCTGTGCCCAGGCAGAGGATAACAAGGTTGGGGAAGAGGGAAGTGACATGGGACAGAGAGAGCCAGATGTGGGCGGAAGCTCAGCCCTGGCACTAATGGGATGTGTGGCTTGGGTAACCCGCCTGTGAGCCTCAGTTTCTCCATTCCTAACAGGAGGTTGGACCCCTGGTTACCCTGCATAAAGAAGGGGCCTTACAGCCATATTGACACACCAAAATGTGGGAGGCACGGGTTGCAGGTGACTGCCAGAGAAATGTTGCTCCACATGTCACTGTCTCCAAGTTCTAGGGTTGGCAAGCTTGTTGACTTGCCAGGTGGGTAGTGTGAGTCACAGGACCACCCAATGCCTCATGCCACGTGGCAAGATAATGGCAGAGACAGAGCTAGAACTCAGACTTGGGCTTCCTGCTTCCACCTCTCTGCTTCTGTTCTTGCTGCCTGCTGACGTACCTTCCTCGGCTCTCCCTACCCCATTAAAAGCCCGTCACTGATGAAGTCCAAACAAGGCCTGGAGTTTAGTTATTGGTACTGTACCATGGTCAGTTTCCTGGTTGAGATAATGTGCTCTGGTTATGTAAGATGTTATCGTTGGGGGAAGCTGGGTGAAGGGTACACAGGAACTCTCTGTACTATTTTTACAACTTCTTTTGAGTCTAAAATTATTTCAAAATAAAAAGATTTAAAAAAAAAATGACATCATTTAAGACTCACCCAAATGTCACTTCTCCACAAAGCTGCCCTGACTCGGTCATGTGGCCTCATGTTTGTCTGGCTCCAGAGTACTCCGTGGACACATTTTTACAGCCCCAGCTACATCCTGCATTGTGAGTCAGTGTGCAGGCATGCACCTGGCTCCCCAGTCTAGACCCAAAGCCCATGTCAAGAACCATGTCTCACCCTCTCACCAGTGCCCCCAGTAGCCTACAGCATAGGACAGGGTCCTATGAATGGTTGGCGCTCAATGAGTGCTTACAGAATAAAGATGGATGGGTGCCTGGAGTTACCTTGATGAGAAAATTTGGCACCTTTCCTACAGGGCTTGTGGGGAAATTGAAGTCACAGCCTCCTCCGCTCTAGGGCTCTTCGCCTCCTTGCTTTCCTTCCTTCTCCACCCTTTTTCTCTTTCCCCAGTCTTCTCTCCACCCTTTCAGTAATGGATTCAGATTTGATCATCCTTTCCCCTTTCTCTCATCTACAGGAACTTGTCAATCTGCTCCTGACTGGGAAAGCTGTGTCCAACGTTTTCAACGACATGGTGGAGCTGGATTCTGGAGATGGGAACATCACGCTTCTCAGAGGGATTGCTGCACGCAGCGATATTGGCTTCTTATCTCTCTTTGAGCATTACAACGTGTGCCAGGTACCCAGATACTCACGTTCACCACAAACGGGGGAGTCTGGCTCCCTGGAGCAATGAGAAGGAGGGAAGCGGGGAAGGAAAACTAGACTCCACTTCTTAGAGCTGGATGAAATTCGGGTCCAGTTGGAATCACAGAGGGCTTGGGAAGAGGAACAGCTGCTCTGCTATGACTACAGGCCTGTAATTCAGACCTAAAGGCAGCTGATACTGTGTTCTGGGGAAGATTGTTTGAAAAGGACTTTGGGGGATTTCTACTGTGACTGTGGGTCACAGTGGCTGCAGCTGGTGTTTGTGTGGTAGGGGAGTCTTCCCAAGGGACAGGAACTTGAGGTCTTAGGCCTCGTGTTAGTTTCCCAGGGCTGCCTAACAAAGTACCACAGACTGGGTGGCTAGAAACAACAGAAACTTACTGTCTCACAGTTCTGGAGGCTGTGAGTCTAAGATCAGGGTGCCAGAAAGACCATGCTCCCTCCAAAACCCATAAGGAGAATCCTTCCTTGTGTCTTCTAGCTTTTGGTGTTTTCTGGCAATCCTTGGCATTCTTTGGCATATAGTGATGCTTATGTAGACATATCACTCCAGTCTCAGCCTTCATCCATCATCACAGGGCCACCTTCTCCCTGTATGTCTTTTCTTATACAGACCTCAGTGATATTGGAATTCGGGGCCCACCCGATTCCAGTATGACCTCGTCTTAACTAATCTTGTCTGCAGCAACTCTGTGTCCAAATACAGTCACATTCTCCGGTACTGGGGGCTAGGATTCAACATACCTTTTTGGAGGCACAATTCAACTCATGGCAGGCCTCATGCATCCTGTTGGCTGGCTTGTGATCCCTCTGCATTGTGCACTGTCACCGCAGCCAGGGGCTCAGAAAGGGTTGGGCCCCCAGGTGAAGCTGGACAGGGCATGGGTGACTGTACCTCTGGGGAATGTGGCCAGGGGCTGAGGGGGGCTGGGCAGACAAGCACTGGACATTCTTGTTCCAACTGCCACGGAACCTTTCTCTGAGCGTTCCATGGTGTCAAAGTCCATAGTTCTGTGGTTGATTAAATGGGAAAGGTTGTCCTGAGTAATTAGGGAGCACACCCAGGGTCTGGTGCTCCCAAAGTATGTCAGGGGTTCTTTTCACAGTGGCCACCCCCCGCAAAGATTCTTGGAGTGTCTGGATGAGGCCTCATTCACCACATATCCTCAGAACTAGGACACAGAGATTGGCTCAACAGGGCCATGCAGATAGCACCAGGCAATTCCACCCTGGATTTGCAGGGTGCAAAAAAACGATGGTTTATAGCCAGGGCTCAGTTTTACCCACCCTTCCCACACGACCACTTGAGGTGTGCTGTGTCTTACTAATGAATCACGTGGTACAGCCCCCTCCTCAGATCTCCTCTCTGGGTGATACCCCTAGCACACCAGAAGCAGACTTGTGGGTCCCAAAGACTTGGGGGAGAAAAGAATGAGAGTGGCTGCTTCCCAACCTTGCTCATGTCAGGAGGGAGCCCGGGAATGTGGCTGGTGAGAAGCACCAGGGCTCTCCAGCACCAGACCCTGGGTGTGCTCCAGAAGTATTCAGTTCGAAATTCCATGGGCCAGGAGAGGTAACCTTGGCCAGGCTCATGGAATTCCCAGGCTCACCATGAGCTCTGGTTTCATTCTCGGGTTGAGGGTGTTGGTCAAAGAGTAAACTATTTTCCTGTGGTCTATAGAGGGTACTTGATGGGAAAACCAGTTGGGTTTAATAATTCCTTCCCTTGTAATAAAATGACTATTGAAGAAATTCAGGCCCTGCAACCATCTCCCCTCCTCATGGGCTTCTTGGATCTGCATAGACCCTCTGCTGTTCTGTGCTCAGCTGAGGACTGGGAGTTTTGTTTCCCTGAAGCAGGAGGGTGCTTTCCTTCTCTGCCTTGCAACAGCAAGCTTGCGAAGGATGGAGCCCTGGCCTCCTCTCCTCCATGAGCTTACTGAGGGTTGGGCCTCAACCCCCGCCTTCCACTGAAGGCTCAGGCCTGGCAGCTCAGACAAACCCTTCCCTCTTCTTTTTTTTTTTTTTTTTGTGACAGGGTCTCACTCTGTCACTCAGGCTGGAGTGCAGTGGCACGATCTCACCTCCCTACAACCTCTGCCTCCTGGGTTCAAGTGAATCTCCTGCCTTAGCCTCCCAAGTAGCTGGGATTATAGGCGCATGCCAGCACGCCCAGCTTTTTGTATTTTTCTATTTTTATTTTTAGTAGAGATGGGGTTTCACCATATTGGCCAGGCTGGTCTTGAACTCCTGACCTCAAGTGATCTACCTACCTCAGCCTCAAAATGCTAGGATTACAGATGTAAGCCACCGCGTCTGGCCCCTTTCAACTCTTCTTCAGCACCACCTTCCATCCCTTCTGTCCCCAAGTCCCTTGGGCCCTGCACAATTAGCCACATTGGACATAGAAGGAGTCCAGGGGGGTTCAGTACCCCAGCCTGGATCTGGCGTCAGAGCCAGGGCCCCTGCTCTGGCCTGGCCTGGCCCTCTCCTCAGGCAGCACAGACACAGCCAAGGGGAAGACTGGCATTTGGAACAGCCTGGGCTGTGACGTCCATGGTGTTCACTCACTGGCAGGTGAAGCCCCCCTGCTTGCAGCCTGTCTCCAGGCTTCTCACTGCAACCTGGGGTTCTGGGGCCCTTACTGAGGATGTGAGAGAAGGAGAAGGTCCCACCTAAAAGTGAATTGCTCAGATGACCCATACTCGGGGTGTACCTGGGGGAAACTGATGAAACTCTGGGCTAGAGAAACTCACCCCTGCCATAAGTAACTGGCCTCCTGCCCTGGCCTGGCTATGTCCTACGGGACCTCCATGGGCTATCTGTGACCCCACCAGGCTGGTCTTGCCCGTCTGACTTCTGGCTCCCTCCCTCAGTCCCACAGCTGGCCCAGGACAAGGCTCAGCAGTGTGGGTTGGACTGCATTCTAGGCTGCAGTTGGAGGCCAAGCCCCTCCAGGCTAATGGTCATGGTGGTTATGGGGGATTGACAGTCCAAGAGGGATGGGGTGGGACGGGGAGTTTAGCCTCAGAACTTCTTTCGTGACATGCAAGTCGTGTTCATTGCTGTCTTCATGAAGGAACCCAAAGGAAAACAGCTTGGCAGGCAGAGTTCAGAAAGGTCCATCCTTCTCCCACCTTCCCCAGCTCAGAGATGGGCACCATGCACCCATTTACTCAGCCAGGAGCACATCCACTCCATCAGGAGGACATGTGCCTCCCCTGAAGTAATTTCTTAAACCTGTCCACTTTCACCTGGTCAGAGCCACCGGTATTGCTGATTTCGACACCATGACAGCCAGGCTGAATTCAGCTCCTTTCCCCACTGATTTCCGCCTTTACAGTCTGTCCCTTCACTGAAGCCAGTGTGATCTTTGAAAATACGGACACGATCATATCATATTCTCTGGACTCTCAGTGGTTTTCCAGTCCTCTAAGACTGTTGTAAGCGGAAGTGTGTCTCCCCAAAATTCCTGTGTTGAAATTCTGACCCCCATTACCTCAGAATGTATTAATAACTATTTGGAGAAAAGGCCTTTAAGGAAATGATTAAGGTAAAATGAGGTCACTAGGGTGGGTCCCAATGCAGTATGGCTGGTATCCTCCTAAGCAGAGGAGGTTAGGACACAGGCTCACACAGCAGGAAGGCATGGAGTAGGCAGCCATCTGCTAGCCCAGGAGTGAGGCCTTAAGAAACAACCTTGGTGACATCTCAGACCTCCAGCCTCCAGAACTGTGAGATAATAAATGTCTGCTGTTTATGCCGCCCAGTCCATGGTATTTGTCATGGCAGCCTGAGCAGACTAATGCAGAAACTAAAGTCCAAAACTTCCCACCAGCCCCAAGGCCCTGCCAGACCTGCACCTGCTTTCATCTCCTGACTCAGCCCGTGCCACTCTCGCCTGCAAGCTGGGGCTTCTCTCAGCCTCTCTCCCACCTCCGGTCCTTTGCACATGCTGCACCCTCCACCTGCCTAGCTTTTCCCTCTCATCGTTTTGACTTAAATGTTACTTCCTCAAAGGCAGCCTTTTCTGCTCTCATAACCCCTTCAAAGTAGGGGGTACCCCTCATTGTCCCTTCCATATCTTGTCAGGCGCCATCAGGGCATCTTGATTCTTTCCTTCATAGGCCTCCTCTGGATTTTAAGCATCACATTTTATCACCTTTACGATGCAAACTTTCCCACATTCAAGCACTTCTGAAATGTTGATGCATTATTACAGTTAATGGTGTGTCAGACTTTGACACACCTGCATTTTCTTTCTTACTCAGTGATACAAAAATAATCATGGTGAATCTGAGGGCATCTTGGACTCACTGAGGTGCTGTGGAAATATCTGGGTTTGATTACTTAATTACTGTGTCACCCCCTTCTATCTGGTAAGCTCCATAAGGACAGCACTGGTTTGCTTCCATTAGCACTGTGTCCCCATTGCTCTCCTTAGAAATGACACACCATAATTCTGTCCTTAGAAATGACATACCGTAGCTCTATGCAAGTAAATGCTGATCCTTTTAAGTGAGTGCTTCTAACCTGGCTGTCCATGGATGGCTTTGGGCCATTCACAACTCCCACCCCAGAAGATAAGTAATCTGTAATAGTGCTGCATGTTCACTCACCGGGAGAGAGCCTCAGACTGTGCTGTAGGAAATGTGGCCCTCTCCCGCCACCGCCCCCACCCCGACCTCACCTCAAGCCTTTGGTTACCCAAGAATTCAAAGGCAGTGAATTTCATCTCTGGAAAATGTCACCCACTTGGAAAGAGGCTCCTGAATGAGGAAACTCATTTATAAACTCTGGGCAGCTTTTTCCCCTTAATCTCTTAACTGTTATTTCTGTGTGGCAAGCTGCGCTTTTGTCCCTCTGTTGGAAAATTCAGGGTGGCTGATTATGCAAAGGCCTGCTCCCTGGTTGGCTTCTGGGCTCTCTCCCTGCCCTGAATGAATGCTGGGTCCCTGTGTCAGGGTTCCCTGTTGCTGGCGATGTTCTCACCAGAAAAGCCTCTTTGAAGTGTGGAATGGAAGCCAGGTTTACGTGGGGTTTAGGCACGTCCAGCCACGTCCTGTAAGACATCTAATTCCCCCACACTTCACTAAAGAATGAGCTCTGCAGTCCACTTGAATGTCACACAGCGCTGGGGGGAGGCCTCAGAGTGGGGGGAGGGGACACCGGAACCTTAGGAAAAGGATGAGCGAATTGTAAAGATTGTCCTCCTGCCTTCTGGAAGAGGCAGCTTTAAACGGGCAGTCATTTCACTGGGGACCTGGCTCAGGCCCTTCAGAGCACAGCCCCTCTGTCAGAGACATTCCAGCCCGAGACGGAGCTGCCTGACCACTCTCCTGTAAAGGGCTCTGGAAAAAGTATGCCCTTCTCCCCACTGGAAAAATAATTCCCATTCTTTCTTTAATCCACAGGCTGTAGCTGTAAATACCTGAGCATGCAAACATCTCCCTGGGGCTAGTGGGGATTAGGCCAGAATCAGCCTGGCCTGTGGCACGTACATAGCCGAATAAACCAGGACCCAGGGTCAGGAGAGGCGTCGCCCAAGGAGTCGCTTCCTGGGGAACTGGGGGAGAGTGCACAGAGGCCAGGCATTCAGGGCTTCATAGGGGGCCCTTGTCACTCCTCTTCCCATTGCAGGCAGGAGGCTAGCGATGTGCCGAGGGCCCTGATGCTTATTCCTCCATATCCGTCCTCCCCAGGCACACTTCCACCATGAAATTCCCCTGCTTGGAATGCTTCTTATCCAAGTGTTGCCTCAACCTCAGTGCCCTGCTGCACCCTGAATTTCTCTGGCCCTCCATTCCTGGCACCCCACAGACTTCTCACTGAGACCTTTCCTTCCTGGCTCCCCAGGGCTCCATTCCTACTTGTCTTTACAGAACAGTTCTAGTTCCTGGGCTCCTGGCACTTCAGGGCATAGTCTGTCGAGCATGAGGCAGAGGTGCTATGGCTGAGGTGGGTGGGCAACCAGTGATGTGCCCCTTGGGAGCTGGAAGGGGGAAACCATTTCTGCTCCAATGAGGGATTTGGGAGATGCAGGATGTCCAAGGGCAAGCAAGCTCTAGGCCAGTGGACAAGCTGGATTTGCTTGGGGGTGTGGGAAGAATTGGTTAGGAGGTCACTGCTGTGGTGCAGGTTGGAGTCTGAGTAGATCTGAGGAAGAAAGGCTGGCAGTGGGGGAGCTCCTGGGTGCAGAATGGGCAGTACTGGCAACCACTAGATGTGGCGGATGAGGGGGCGGGTGGTGCTAGGTCTTCGGTCTGTTTGATGGGCTGTACGAGCAGCAGCAGGTGGGGTGGCAGGGCAGGGGTGGTCCTGGGAAACAACACAGTGGCTTGAGCAGCATGGGGAGCTCCCAGCATCAGACACAGATGTGATCTTCAACAGGGCCTCCTGAGATCAGCCCTGCCTTGGGTCAGACAGAAAAATGCCCTGGCCCCTTTCCCTGGGGACAACACTTCACATCAGGCCTCTTCCTCATCCAGGTTGGCTGCTTCCTGAAGACCCCGAGGTTCCCCATCTGGGTGGTGTGCAGCGAGAGCCACTTCAGCATCCTCTTCAGCCTGCAGCCAGGGCTCCTTCGTGACTGGAGGACTGAGAGGCTCTTTGACTTATACTACTACGATGGCCTGGCCAACCAGCAGGAGCAGATTCGGCTGACTATTGGTGCGGCCCCTACCACCGTCCCTGGGGAGCCTCCAGGCTGGTCACAGAACCAGCCTTCATATCCATTGCCACCCCCCATGACAGAGAGCAGTGCAGACTCACTCCACTGCCCAGATTGTGGGGGATCAGAGGGCGAATGCCAGCAGGGTCTTCCTGCAGGAGACGGCTAGAGCTGGGCCTTAAGCAGTGGGTGGCATTAAGGGTGTCAGGTGAAGCCTATACCACATGGTAAAGAACCCTGAATACATCATGACAAGTTTGGATTTCTTCTTCAGGCAGTTGGAAGCCATGGAAGGTTTTGGAATCGGGGGTGATGAAATTGGATGTTTTTAGAAAGTATTGTGTAGCTGAAGTGACATAGGAGTGGGCACCAGTGAGTTGTGCAGGTGAGAATGGATGTCAGGGATGAGGGTGGGTCCAGTTGAGATGGAGAAGAGGGGACAGGGACTAGAAGGGGTCAGGTCCTGGGAGTGGTCTGTGCTGACCGCAGGGTGAGTGCAGGGCCCTGGGTGACGTGTGTGTGCCTCTCTCCTCCTTCCCAGATACCACCCAAACCGTCTCTGAGGACATAGACAACGACCTTGTCCCACCCCTCGAGCTCTGCATCAGAACCAAGTGAGTCAAGCCCCTCTCTGGCTTTGAGCCTCGCCCTGCATAGCTTTGAGGAGCCGTGGTTGGGGCGGTCAGGCCTGCAGGAAGGTGGGTAGGTTCCTGGACCACCCTGATTCAAAGGGGTGTGGTGACTGGAAAGACACAGCTTTCTCCACTTGTGGTCACTGGGGCCTAGGTTCGGTGAGATCTGCAGCGGTGATGCATCTTGACAGCTTCTGAGGCTGTCCTCATGGTGGGGGGTGGGGCTAAATAGGTACCTCTTGAAGCCCCTCCTCAAGGCAGCCGCAGCCAAATGTGGTGAGTACCATTAGGCCTGAAGGAGGCAGGACAGGGGTGCTTACCTGAGGATGGGGAGGCTTGAGCAGGATGGGAAGCTGGGGTGATCTGGTGCAGCACGGGGGGTGGCAGGAGGTGCTGCCTGGAGGTGCTGCCAGAGTGGCACCCTCTGCATCCAGAGGAGCGGGAGGAGCAGCTTGGCCACTGAACACTGAGCAGTGTGCCCGTCGCCTCAGAGCGGGTGGCGCCTTCAACTCCTCTGACAAGGCCCTCTGTATTTAAGGGAAGGCTGAGGCTCAGGCAAGGGGAGGGGAATGTTTGGTAACTGGGGCGAGTTGGGGCTCACCTCCCTGCTGCGTTCTCTGAGTGGGCCCTGGGCTGGTGGGGCCGTTGCTGTCAGAAGTGCTCCTCTCTCCCCAGCAGGCCCTTTACAAAGCCCTTGGGGAATGATCCGGGGTCCTCAGCATTCATGAGAAGAGCAGCCTGGGAGGGAGAGGCCTGGATCCTAGTCCCTTCTCAGGGAGCAGTGGAACTTGTGGCCTTTATATGAGTGTGGACTCTGGAGAGAAGTTGCCTGGGTTCCAGCCCTGCTGCGAGCCACTGGACCTCACCTTCCTGCACCTCACTTTCATCTGTAAAATGGGGGTGATGCGTACCTAGCTCACCGGACCTTGTGAAGAGTGCCTGGGACATTACTAAGTGCTCCACAGTGTTTGTGTTCACTGTGATAACCTCAGCCACTCCTGATTTGCTGTAACCTCAGAGAATCTCCATTTTTCTGCCTGTGAAATGGTTGGGGTGTGGGCAGGGGAATGGAAAATGGCAAGGCCATTTCCCAAGATCAAGTAATCTTGACTGCTCGATCCAGGGGGCACAGCGAGCTTAGGGTTGATGCCTACCACAGACAAGCGAGTCCTTGAGAGGAGCTGCAGAGAGAGAGAGAGAGAGAGAGAGAGAGAGAACTGTTCACATGGTGGAAACACCAGGAAGGGGAGTGGGAGGAACGCTGAGACATCCTCAGTGTGCTTTGTCCATTTATCCATCCATCCGTCTGTCCGTCCGTCCATCCATCCACCCACTCACCTGCCCGCCTCCTGAGCCAGTGATGAAGCATTCTTGCAGGGTCATGTGTCAGTGGTTCTTTCGTCAGGAGGATTAAGGGCACCTGCAGGTTGCTTTTCTTTCATGTACAAAGGGCCACTCATTCAAAGTGATGAGAGAAAGCCAGCAGTGGGGACAGGAGGTGACAGTGGCCTTGGCATCTGTGCAGGGCAGTGTGGGAGGCCACAGGGCATCCTTCCTGCAGGTGGGCCTGCTGAGCAGGGCTCCGACTACATGCTGCACACAGCCTCTGCTCGCCTCTGGAGCTCCTGGGACCCTCTCTGAAGGCCTCCATCTGACTCTGTGTCTCTGTACCCCTCCCAGGGGGTGGCCCACCACTTGAGACCTCTCCACTGCCTCTTCTGGAATAACTCCTTTTTCCCCAGAAATTATTCCGCTGTATGATTCACCAAGCACCTCCCAGTGTGGGCCCAGGATTGGACCTCTTGGGCTCAGCCCTAATTGGCAGTTGTTTGAGATTGACCTGGGGCTTTGGCCAGAGCTCAGTCCAGAGTAAGAGTCTTAGTGTGTGTACATGGGCCTGAAGTGTCTCTTCCTCTTCTATTGGCTGCCTCCATCTCCCAGGACTTCCTTCCCCTGCCCCCATCTCCCAGGACTTCCTTCCCCTGCCCCTTGGCCACTTGGAAGCAGGTGGTAGGGAGATGATGTGGGAAGCAAAGAGGTTGCATGATTTGGGCCAGGGCCCTGCCCTTCCTTGCCTTTACATCTGCTCAGTGTTGTGTAAGCTTGGACAAGGCTGAGCCCCAGCATCTCCAGAGCAGTCGTGGATGGAAAATAGTTCTATTTGTGTGGCACGTGGGTTGAGGGGAGCCCGTATGCATTTGTGGCTCATGCATAGAGAAGGTTTGCTCCAGAGCAGTGGCCTTCAAGTTTCAGGGGCATCAAAGTCACCTGGAGAATGTGTTAAAACACAGATCGCTGTGCTCCACACCCAGGGTTTCTGAGTTTTTGATTTAGTAGGTCCAGGGTAGGGCCCAAGAATGTGCATTTTTAAGTTCTCAAGTGATGCTGATGCTGCTGGTCTCGGGACCACACTTTGAGAATGAGGTGAATGACAGGTGAGGGCAGTGCCCTCCCCTTCTAACCCCCGCTGCCTTGTGGGAGCTAGGTATCAAGTGAGGCATTGATTCTCTGGCCCACCATAGGCCCTGGGACAGGGGTACCCTCTTCCTGGCTCCATTAGCTATCCCCTCATCCCCAGGTCAGAGTGTTCCATGTCTGCTAGGACTTTGCTGACACCAGCTGCCTGCCTGTTCCACTTTCCCCATCAATCCTCCGTCATAGTGGGTCGGGTCCACCTGGTCAGTTATTCCTAGAAAAGCTGAGTGGGTGAGTGGAGAGTGAGAACACTGCCCCCATACCCTCAGGTAGCATACCGCTGTAATGGGAGACAGCAGGCCCAGCCTTGTGGAATCCTAGTCCAAGGGGTTGGATTACAAAGGCTTGTGCTCTGTTTCATCCCAGATTCTCAGACAGCCCAAAGGGACTAGAGAAAGTGGCCTCCAAGGTCACTGAGGACCCACTTCCAGCAGGTCTGGCCTTGTGGGGGTAAGTTCTGCTGTCTCTAGGAAGGCCCCACCGTGTCAGGAAGGGGATACACATGATGCCATGGCCTGAGCTCAGGTCATTTCAAAGGATGGAGTCAGAGCCCAAGCTGCTGATAAGATGCAGCTGCGTGCCCACAGCGTCTTGTCCATCTCCTGGATAGGCTGCAGGGTAGGCCAGGGTGGTGGGCATGTGGAATTCCCTCATATCAGGTCAACCCTCATAGAACCCCTGGGCTGGACAGTATGGAAGAAACAGCTAAAACTTGGTTCCTCCTCTCAGGGAGTTTGCCATCAGCTACAAGTCAAGTTCAGAATCAATCCTGTTCGAGTCCAGGGAAAGATGCACCACCTACCCGTAAACCCAGCTCTGTTGCCGTCTTCCCTGATGCACACAGCTAGTTGGCTGGCAGCTTGCTTGGCTCTACAGAAAGGCCTTTGGGCACCACCTGTTATCACCTCTTCTTTTACAGACAGGGAGATGGGGGCCTTTAGAACAGAGATGTGTGTCCCAGCCACACCTTGAGTCACAGGCTCTAGGGACTGCAGCTTAGGGTCTTGCTGTCCCAGCCCATTAGAAGGTCACTGAGTGGGCAGTGACTTCCCACCACCTGTCTTTGTTGCCACGGTGACATTGCACAAGCCCAGACTGCTGGTTTTGCCTTCAGAGAAGAACACCCTAATTCAAACCATCCCCAGACCTCATGTGTCTCTGCACTTTGGTGTGACGCAAATCTCGGCCTGAGAGAGTCTCCTGTTACCTTTGCTTGTGTCAGGAATGTAGGGTCTGTCTCCTGCCCCTTCCGTTGTACTCTAACCATCTCAGCAAAAACAGGCTAATTTACGGTCATTTCCAAACAAGACACACACAGTGATCTCTCATGCTTCCAGCCTAGCTAGAGTGAGGAAAATGAAATGGTTGTCAATAGTCCAGAGGAAAGAAGAAAAAACTCATAACCGGAGCCTGGGGCTGGGGCACAGATGTTTCTGTTTGGAGGCTCAGACAAGAAATTGAAAATGTAATTCCAGCTGGGAATGGTGCCTTTGAGGGGCTGAGGCAGAGCACCCGCCTCTCTCAGCTGCCTCCACTGCCTGCACAGCCTCCCGTTCAGCTTCTGTGCCGACACCCTTTTGCCCAGGCTCTCTGTCCATAGTGCCTTCCACCCATTGAAGGAGCATTCTCTGGGTGCTGTCACTCCCCACTGTCCACACAAGCCGTCTTCTGATGCCCTGCTGCCCACACTCACCTGCCCTGTGCTGGCTCTGCGGTCATCATGCTGTGTGAGCTCCAGAAGGTCTGGTTCTGCTCCCAGCCTTAGTTTCTCCCCATCTGTCCCTAGGGTCTAAGGATCCCTCTCCTGAGCTGCTGTGAGGTTGAGAGAAGAGCTGTGGGAGCACTCCCTTTCCTGTGAGCCACAAGGGCCTCTAGGAATGTATTAGGGAGGAGGAAGAATCAGATGGCAAGTTGAGCCAGGGCTTAGGAGCAGGCAGAGCGAAGGCAATCATGCAGGGCTTGGAAGCCTGAGTGAAGACCATGGTTTCCTCGATGAGTGCCTGGGAGGGCGGGGCCACTCCCTAAGCAGCCATCCAGGAGGAGCAGCTGACCTGGGAGGTTGGTGTTCATGCAGCGGCACACCCTCCTGCCACCTCCACCCGGAGCCCAAACTTCAGGCACTGGTGAAACTAGCTTTGTCTTGGAGCCTAGCCTGGGTGTTGACAGGAGCCCGTGGGTGGCCTGGCAGTCAGAGAACACTTCTGTAAAGAGGAATCTGGTTCCGATCCTGCAGGATGCTGGAACTGGCAGGGCACAGCAGGGGTTAAGACCCACGGGTGAGGGATATCCATGTGGCTCATCCTAGAACTGCTCCTGGTTCCAAATGGCTGGAGCACGGGAATGGAAACTTTTATTCGGGCCTGTTTGTCTGGAGATCCAAAGTGTGCAAGAGGAGTCCCTGGATGTTTCTATCAGTCAGGAGCTTTGAACTCAGGCCTGCCGTCTTCTGGCTGACACAGGTTCTATCAGGCATCTTTTGCCCCATGAAAAACACTGTTCATCAACGC